ATTGCAGAGAGTGTGATCAGCCCCGCAGACACGCCGTGGGGAAAAATGCATATCGTTGGGATATATCACGCACGACCACAAAATCATTCCAATTACTGCCCCAATTGCAGAGAGAGAGAGAGAGAGAGAGAGAGAAGGAGAGAGAGAGAGAGAGATTTTCAGCAACCCAGCATCTGTTAGGGGCGTGACATTAAATATGGGAAGGATACAAAAAGTTCCGAATTTCCATGGTTAATTCATCTGTGGAGTTTTGTTCATCACTAAAATCCGGCATACATTAAATAAAAATAAAATGTTCGTGAGGATAGCAGCAAGTTTTTTAACGATTTCAAAGATCGCATTCTTGCCTAGCTGTTCCAAAAAGGTAAATTGTTTCCCTTTTCATACGTACCCAACAGCCGAACTTACAGTACAGTATTTGTTTTTGATTACAGGCTTTCATGAATTTGCTTCGTTCCTTAATATAATATTGCACCTCATTCGTGAGACTTGCATTTTGCAATGATCAGTCAATAATTTCGAGATATATATGCAGTTTCGTGAGAGCAGTATAGCGCGTGAATCGCCACGTATTTTCTCATTTGAATTTTACACAATCTTAACAATGCTGTTGCCTTCAATATATTATAAAAAACATGTATACTTCGAGAAAACGATGTCTAAGCGTGAAATGCGGTCTTTGTCGTGGCGCTTGGAATTTCAGATGATTCAGGAGTGTCCTTCATAGCCGGAAGAGATAATTATTTTTCATTGATTATACTGTACTTCAATTTACGATTTCCGTTGAATTTATGTACGATGTGCATTTCATCTGTCCTGCTGACCAAGTACTTCCATCGAAATGTACGTCATTTTCGGTGAAAATTTATTAGAACGAAGAACAAAGAATTGAGGAGAATTAACGTCGCCCTACCCATCATAGAAGAGGGGGCATTTTTTAGTAGAACCAGCGCAAGAATTCCTCCCCAATTTCCACGATTTATAAAATATATATAATGGAATTTTATGCATAAATGTACCTGATCAAAGTGAGTATGAATTCATCATTGAGCTCCTCGGGCACGAGCAAAAGGCCAGTTTGTATCACAGCGTTTTCGTTGCGCAGAGCCGTGAGCGTTCCATAGACTGACATGTGAGACCCGGGCACTCCGCGTTGCGCCGCCACATTCAAGTCCAGTTCGTAGCTGTTCTCGTTGACGGGAAGCCAAGTGGCGCCGTCCGGCGCCGCCGAGAAACCCGCATTCGGTCGCTCACCGGTCCACTGCATGGGAGTTCGCTCCGGATCGCGGGAAACGTTCATGTAGCCCTCGGGGCCGAAATTGCAGCCGAATGGGTCTTGGGTCTGCTCCCAGCTGCGCAAAAATGTTCCTTCAAGTTAATATTTTCTAAATGTCTACACGTTTAAAACAAATAATCTCGATAAAGTAAAATTCGTGGCTTGTCATACAAAAATGTCTGCGGACTTCACAGCTGTTGTTTGCACCAGGAACCAGAAATAAAATTTTTTCCATCAACGAAGTGCGGAGTTTTGGCAGGAATTCCGCGTTTTGCAGCTCAACATAATTAGTCTCTGACCTCTCTATATATTGCGGCATCATTTCTAAGAAAATGTTATTATTATCTGGAAACTATGCAATATAATTCTGAACTATGGGAATAGGTTTTTTCTGCTGGTTATCTTGAGAAAATACAAAATCGCAATAAGATAAGACAACTTAGGTGTTACAAAAGCATGGGGAAAATTTATCTTCAAGACCTTTTCTCAAATCCGAAGGGGGCGTATCGATTGTATAAACCAATATACCGTTGTGCATCTTCATCGGATGCATATTTTTTATGTGAGAGTTCAAAGCATTCGGGAACAATTGTGTCTTCTTTTTCATCTTCAATTTTTTATAAGAAGACCCACGTATTATCCTCTACTTTTTATCTGTCAGCATGCCATCAGAAATTATTCAGCGCCGGCGGAAATTCGGCGAATCGCAATGTTGTCCAAAAATTTCAAACGGTTTTTCGAATGTGGGAGCATCCATCGAAAAAATGATTTCATTGCCTCCAAAGTTTATATTCTATGCAAAAATTGCTTCTAGAAGGATGTGAACATCAGCGAAACACTTTTAATAAATAGGAGCGAGGCTCTCTACAGTATTCCGTCTGCTGAGTCCGAAGGGCGGGCCCTATAATTTCAAGCGTCTATATTTGTTTTAAAAAAAACATCTTCATGAAAGCAAGATAAATATATGTTATTACGGCAATCAAGGGCTCAATTATTTTCAAAATTGACTAACGTTATGAAGGTATCTTCCATTCCGATCTCTTCCCCGTAGTAAGTCACTGCAGTTCCGGGCAACAGCTGCACAAGCATGTTGATGGCGTCGATCACCTCGGAACCGAATCGGCTGGCAACTCGATGATTATCATGGTTTCCAATCTGTTCATTTGTACAACATGGCTTCACAATCAGCATATATTTTTTCAATAAATCTCCTAAGGCTTGTAGAAAACGTACATGCATAAATAGCTCAAAATCCTGCATTCAGAAACTGCACGACTCGAGAATATTTCACCCTGCGCACGATTGGGTACAAATGAACTGAAAATGAATGCTAAATTTTGAAGTTATCTTTGCAAAAAAGTTGGAAACCCGGTTTCCCGTGGAAAAAGAAGACTTCGACAGTGTTTAAAAAATTATTAGAAGTTACAATTATGATCCATTCAGGACGAAATACAAGCGTATTCCCGCATCCTCAGAAATTCGAGAGAAATGGTGAATCAATTTTTGTTTTACTGCATTTATGCAAAGATAAAAGAGCCATACGATCGAATTCAAGTTCGTTGATGCTCGGAGATGACACATATCTGAGTTTTTTTTTTAATTCCACATGGTAAAATTAACAAGATATTACGCTCACCACCCAGTTTGCCCATCCCCAGGACGGCATGTTGTCGAGCCAATTAGCAATAGCATCCCGCACTTTACCAGCAGTCAGGTCTCCCGTCAAATAATCAATGAATTTGAAATTGAAAGTGAAGTGGGCAATAGGTTCGTCTTCTGTGCCATAGTACGCCATCAGTTTGTCCACGTCTCCTTCATAAACTTCCGTGATCATAACCCTTTTAAAAGTGGGAAGAAAAAAGAAAATCATACGAAAATATGATTCAAAATTGTTTCCTTCATCTACTCCACAAAAATTAAAACTCTATGAAAATAGCATCTATCCCTCATACACACAAGAAAAAAGACAAGACTTGACTTGAAAAATCTGTGGTAAAAGTCGAGAGGTTTCTTTTACTCGCCCATTCATCTAAGGCTAATTACAGATGAAAAAGAGAGTGATAAATTGTATTCCCTTCGGAATTCTAATCAATCATCTCCCATATGCAAAACTCATATTTCCTGAAATATGTTGATTAGTGAAATAAACTGCATTACGTCATTATATCATGACTGTTCACTGTTGCAAATTTATTTCCGGTGAAATTTGTATCGAAGATGATCAAACAAATCTTTAACCCTTGGATGGCAGCAGGTGGCAGTGCCCGGATATTTTTGCATGCAGGGCTGCAGGGACTTTTCAATTCGGCCAAAAGTCACTAAAAGCAACCTCGATTAAGTAGCCAAAGCCTGGAAAAATCTGAGAAGGTGAAAGCTATTTTTTCTGAATTCCTCAACGCTAATCTTATACCAGGAATGCAGAAAAAATGACATCCAGCAGTGAATAATACTTTCCAGGAAAAATGTTTCTGCACATATTTACAGGATTTTGTGATTTTTCCTGACTGGCTCTGCATGTGAAATTATGTTTTTCTTAATTTTTTATTCTTCTTAAAAATTCTGCAAATATATTCCAGCGGGGTTTCAAGCTTTCAACGCATAATTCCCTCACTTGGTTTCTCCGTTGAAAGCAGAGTAATCGTCAAGAAGTTGTCGCCAATGACGCAAAACCTCGTAGGTTTTGTCTTGATTAGTCGTGTAGATATGATCTAAGAATGCGTAATCAGTCGGATCAGTTACACCATCGATCCCCGATGGAGGTTCATTCATTGTCAAATCCTGAACCTCAGCCATGTGTTTCACTGCATCGCAACGCAAGCCGTCGACGCCGCGGTCCAGCCAAAACAAGATGATGTCCTGTCAACCCAAGAATTACATAACTCTCTGTGAAACAGGAAAAATGCGATAACGTCACGTATCTTGGCAACCTGTTTTCTTCGAACGATGACAAACGGGTCTCTGCATAGGATCAACAAACAAGGTCAGCGAAAAAACATTTCAAACCTCAATAGAATGAGTAGAACAGAGCTTCTGTTTAAAGAGACTTGATCCGTTTGAAAAAAAAAAAGTTTGCTACCGATAATATACGTCAAGTTGCCTCATTGTAGTTATACGCCTAATCGCTCTACAGATTTAAAGAAAAATGTACCTGAATTTCATAAAATAAAGTTTCAAGAGGTCACATAATGTGCTTACTAAGGATTTATGAGGTGGATGAACATATGTGTAACTCTTGGCTGATGTGCTGATAATCATTTTACTTCATTCGAAGGTATAGTTTAGTTGTCATTTTGTGCTGAAGGGAGTGAAACAATTTTCTGAACCCTTTGCATGACTTATTGCCATTTTATGCTGTCAAAGGCATCGAACCCACAACTATGCAGACATACTCAAAAATTGCATTCAGTAAGATTCCCACCACATTTCTGAAGATTGTTAATCAAGTTTCCGGAATGCATAATGACGTACAATGTATGTAAAAAAAAGATTCGCCTTCTGAATCATATAATAACAGCGAAAACACTCCAAAAAACAAAACGAAAAATATTCAAAATATTCATGCATCAGAAAATCAAATCGCGATTTCACGTTGGTCAATAACGTGGAAAACGTAGATGGCAGCACCATATTTGACACAGAAAAGTGTTTCCATTTTCAGTGTTTCATTTCAATTTGACTTACATCGAATTCCTTAATCACGGCTTCATTGAAGAAGTTCAAGTCTGGCTGCTTGGTGAGGAACTGGTGCAAGTAGAATTGCTGGCGTTCTTCATTCCATTCCCATGCTGAAAAACGGAAGACGCTGAGCTGGAAAAGAATATCAATATTGACTTTTATCTCCTGTGGACGTTATTGATTTACGGATGTGGAATTCTGGCAAGCTGCTCGGGGCACTGGTCAATTCAAAGACGTCAAGTTTCTTCTCTTAAAAAAATCTAAGGGACAAAAGAGAATAAAGTACTGTACTCCACAATAATTGAAGATTATTGGAAATTGTGATACCAATTCAACTATATTGATGTAATACTAGAGCAGAAAATTATTCAAGAAATTCAAGCACTACGCGGGATATTTTTGGGTATGCAGTCAAATTATCCACTAATTTTTAAAATATTTTTTATGTGATGGTGATGTAGAGAACTTTGGAAATGCATTTGTCAAAAATTAGTATCTGGATTGTCGTCGGTCTCCCGCATTTTCTCCAATCAAACGTTTCTGACACTGTATACAGATAAGAATAGCAGTGAGTTACTCATGCACTACCACATTCCATTGATGCCAGTACTGTACACATAAAAAATCAGTGTGCCAAAATCAGAACCATGCACGCTCGAGTAAGAAACCTCTTGAATTTTTCAGACTAAAATTCGAATTAGATTTATTCTCAAAGTAAGACACACATCCCATTTTTAGAGACTGAAAATTGAAACATGTGTAATTGAAATCAATCAGAATTTCAATTTTTACTTGAATTCCAGTCAAATTGAAAGTTGTGTTTCCACTTTTTGGCATTGTCTGTTGAAATTAGTCGCAACTTCCCTGTTATTTGGGATCAAGTATGACACTTACCAACGCTTTCCTTTTTTAATTGTTACACTGTACCTGTCTAAGGCTCATACCCTCGTTTTCTATTCTGAAGAAGGTAGACATGGTACTTGAGTATAAATACTGGATTAAATTCCAAAATTAGCTTCACAGCATTGACAGACTTTTAGATATTTAGCTAAAAAAATTGAATTCTTATAAATTTTGGTAAAGGGTTTCAAAAACTCTTTTTGTGGCCTCCCTGCTGCGCATATTTGGCATCACTGTGCTGGTGCTGACTTGTGAAGGAACCATCATATCAACAGTACTAACCCAATTAGAAGGTGGAATCGGATTGCCTTCGTCGTCCGTTCCGATGGCATCATGCCACACATAATAATCAGTGTAAGGGTCTTCTCGGGCAACAGAGCGAACAAACCAGTCGTGTTCATCACTTGAATGATTCGGCACGAAGTCCAGGACCACCCGAAGCCCTGTAGGATGTATCATTTTTCTCGTACTGTACCGTCTTTTATCCACACAGCTAAATAATTTTTAGAAAAGATAATTTTACCATCGGCTTCAACAAAACATTATACAGGCAGTGCCTCACAATTCGATCTCCTGCAAATTTGACCATCCCGCAATTTGATGGTCAAATTTTCAGAGAGGTTGACTTGCAATTTGACCCTTGCCCTGCAATTTGACCTGCTTTGGCCACTTTTTCCATTTTTTACGATATTTTCACTTGCATGAAGTGTCTCCCAATTCGACTGTTTTGCAATTTTACCTTATTTTGGCAATGGATTCGGGTTGAATTGGGAGGTACCACCTGTACTGTATACTGGACTTCTGGAACAATCACTCTTCAATGGATTGATTCTTGTGCAAAGCATGTTGCTCTGCTACTATCAAAGATAATTTTATTATATTTTACTATACAAAGCAGTGTATAGTGTAATGCCTCAAAATAGAGTGAAAATATACATGCAGAAGCAACAGGGATCGCATTGGGAAGTATGATGCAGAAGTATACGTCGGAATTTTTTCCTCTTTCGCCTTTCATTCCTTCCCGGAATAAACGTCCTTCTGACTCAAAATTCATGAGCCCCAGAATAAATAATTGTAATCACAGTTTATCAGGTAAAAACACAAGTTATGCGGAACCAATTGTCTTGAAAAGGGAAAATCTTGAAATGAAAAATTGCGGAAGATTGTGAAAAGAATACTTCCGAAGAAAGCTAGACTTACGATAAAGCTTTTTTCAGCAAAAAGAAACACTTCAGATGATCATTAGCAATTATAGGGACAAACGGCCGATGCAATTTCTTAACGAATACAAGTTTGATTAACCAATTAAATGCTAACCTCTTGCTTTCGCCTCAGCAACTAGATTGTCAAAATCCTCCAGGGTACCGAAGAGCGGATCTACATCCGTGAAGTTGGAAATGTCATATCCGAAGTCCGCCATCGGAGATTTGTAAATAGGGGATAGCCAGATGGTACCGACGCCAATTTCCACGAAATGATCCAATTGAGAAGCAATACCAAAAAAAAAAAAAAAAACGGATTCCACGTCGAAAATGAATAACCATATACACACTCAAGTGCCACGCACCCTCAAGTAAGATGCTCACCGCGGTTTACAATATAAAATTTCGATAAAATTGTGTCCCAATTAAGACGCCCAACCCTTTTTTATTAAATATGAATCTGAAATGGTTAAAAAATAAAAATGCAAAAATTTTAAATTTAAGCACGAATTGAACCTGAATAAAACAAATTTACGTTGTTTATACTAATATGATTTTTTTCCCTCCTTAAAATTAGTCCAATACACTTTCCAGCAGAATCAAGTATAATGCAAACCCAAACTTATGACATGGTTTAAATATTTAATACCCGCCTATGACACACACGCACCCCTCCCCCTTTTTTCCTCTCAAATTAATAAAAAGGGTGCTCGTGGTACTGCACTCGAGTAAATACGTCATACTTCGCAAAAATTACAAATGTACACCAATTCCTCACCATTCAAGTCACCAATGCCGTCTCCATTTGAATCCATGAAAGATCTGGGATAAATTTGATAAAGCACCGTGGATTGCCACCAATCAACTTGTGCCGTCGTGCCAGTGACCAAAAGGCCACAAGCGAAGACGAAAGAAAAACAACTAGAAACTGACCGCATACTGCCACTGTTCACAACAGAAATTGAACGTCAAGTGGTCTTAGGCCATGCAAGTATTCAGGAAACTTCGTGTAAAATCGGATTAGTGCCAAGGTGATGCCGAAATTGCTGTAAGCAGCAGTTGATAACACCTTAGTTCAAAATCCGCCACATCACGCGATTCTTTTTCTGGGTAAATTTGTGTACCCTGTTCGAGATACGATCCTTCACGTTACAAAATTGTTTTATGTTACAAACTGAAAATTACCAACGAGCGAAATGAAAAGTGATAAGATAAACGAAGCTAAAATGACCAGGCATATTCGTAACTGGAGAGAAAACAGCCAACATGCACGGTTATTTGAATTTAATCACCCATCGATTCCAGGACACGCGTATATTTTTCTTGTTTAAAAACTTGAAAATTTTCCTTGCGGATTTGAGAGGCTCCACTTATCCTTTGACTTACGCACAGAAGTCTGTTAACATCTCATTTTAACCGCGTCTGATATAGTGTCTCATCAATTCAGATTTTAAATTTCCGAAACATCATTATTTTTCCGCCATTCTCACGCGTCGCATGCGAAGAAAGGTTCATCACGGATATATTGTATTTTGAATTTAGGACAGTATTTTGAATATATTTGCTGATTCTTGGGGAATCTTAATTGACAGACCCTGGTGTAACAATTTATTTGTTCCATTTGTGATGCCAATGCTGCAACAGGAAAAGCAGGTCATTCAGGTTCTTACCAGTAATTTTCAGCTTTTTTCTTTCTGAATGCGCAATACTGTATTTGAAAAATACTGCATGGTGACCTGTATTGAGAACTACACTGCACATCAGAAAGTTCGTTTGGTCAGAATAAAAAACCTTTCCAAATGAAAATTCAAGACTCATCGTGGAATCGAAAAAATCTTCTGATTTTTACTGATGAATTTTTTCGGGGGAAATTTTGTAATACAATAGTTCGCGTTTTGCTTTGGTCCATATATACATACAGTCGAATGTTCGCTATATAAACGGAAATACAATTAATTCGAGTAATAGAAGTTCAGTGTCGCATTTTATATCAGGAATCGAATTTATTTCGATTGCATTATGACATCTTAATCAGCAACATTCGCAGATAACACAAAGGGCAAAAATAACGTCAATGATGAATCGACATAAAAAAACTGCAGATGAACACATGACCAGGGTATGCGTCGCACAATTTTGTAGCTGCATAACCATAACTTTATTTCGATACAGCAGTTCAATATCAAAATTTGACAGTTTTGATACTGTTAAAAAATCTTAGATTCTTTCTTTATAAGAGAGTATCTGTTTATCATCACGGCAGACTCCGGCACTTGTTAGATATTCTCAAATGTATTTTATCAGCAAAACGCCGTGTTTCTCAAACCACACCAATTCGATACTGAAGACTTTTTCCACCCTTCGAACCAGCAAACTATCAGAGGGGTTCATCTCATCCTCACAAAAATATCAATTATACTATATTTATCTCCAAGGACATCAAAATAAATTCCCTGAAGCCTGAGTCAGAATTTTGAAAAAAACGCTTCTCATCAAGGTCAAATTCTAACTCTAATTTTCCTCTTAACCTTGTATTTCCCCGCCAAACACGATTCAAAGAGAACAGTTTTCATGAACCAAAAGTTTTCATTCTGAATCATATCCCACAATAATATATAGTGTACGAGGGTTTTACCCACGTCGGCTTCCGACCTTGGTTATTTTTGGACGAGTACATACTACCGTAAAACATTTTTGATACAGCCCATGATTATGTAAGGTTCTGAGATTTTTTTTCAGATTTACAAAATATTCAATATACTGCATGATGATAAGAGAAAACTTTCCAGTAATGGCCTGAGTTCTCCACCCACCTCGTCAAAGGGTGCTGACAAAATGCAGGCCACTCAAAGCTTGTCATTTTTTTTAAAGGAAATTTGTCCTAAGGTTTGGAGAATAAATGGTTAATGCGACAAAGAAATTTCAATTTCCATCAGGCCTGAAATTTTGTATCTCCCTGTGACATGAGTGGAGAACTCTGGCCATGGAAAGTCTTCACTTATCTTCATGCAGTAAATCGAAAGATTTTTTAATCCGTAAAAACTATAGAACCTTTCAACATCATTGGCATATCATAATTTTTTTTTACTGTCATAAATACACCAGAAGTAACCAAGGTCGCGCTCATGTGGGACAACCCTCGCTCAATTTCATCATGACTAAAGTAACCGAAAAATTCACTGTAAATTTCCAGCTGAAAGCTTTCCGAAAGACCCAATCTTCGATAAAGACCTCAGCATCTAAAGAAAAATTCACGTCATTCCATGTTTGTGCATCGTCACACTCCATACGCAGCAATCACTTTTCGTTTCTAAGATGTTGCAATAATAAATTACGGTACTTAATTCACGCACGATATGTTTCGCCAAAAAATTTCATTTCTCAGGGTGACTTGAAGTTTGCAGACTAACTAGCTGACGTAAAACGGACTATGGCAATATTTCCTTGCGGTCCACCCACGAATACGTGGCCAGATTCGCCGCAACACATAGCATGAACAGGGAACCCGACATTGCATGATGCCAAGCGAACCCCGGAAACAGGGTTCCAGGCGTTCACCACACCGTCCCAACCGGCGGAAAAAAGTATTTCGGATCCCTCATTGCATCCGTCGAATTCCACAGATTTCAAGCAATTGATGATGAGTTCGTGTCCCCGTAATTCGGTGGGTTTTTCGTTGTAATTATTGCGATCGTAGCGGAGAATCCCGCGTCCATCGCTTCCGGTGGCGAAAAAGTATTGCTTCGTCAAAGCTATGGGAGATTTTCCTTCCAGTGAAGCTTTTATCGAGAATTTATTGCTTTCTGTCAAGGAAAGGAGTTCTTGAATCGTCACTCCTCTGTCACGGACTGAGAAGATCATCATTCCATCGACGGCCAAATCGAACACTTCTTCCACCACTGACAACACCAATGTGAGGTTTCCGTCTTTCCACACCTTCACCTGCATACACACACAAAAATTAAGGTCAATGTCCGCATTTATTACTCTACCTGATTATATATATGCTGCAACCACATCCTAATTTTTTTTTGGAGTCATTTCCACAAGTCACAGATGGGTTTCAACTTTTACGTCACGGAACTGCATGGACTTGTAGAAACCCAAGGACTTCAGATCTCTGACTCATTGAAACCGGAAGGCATATGTCTTTCTGTTCCTTTTTCGCCGTTCATTCCTCCCACTTATCTTGGGCAGCATTGAGTGGAATTTCAAGGGACCAGCAAAAATTCCAGTCAAAGGATGTTTTGAGCTAGGGAAAGAAGCATTTTTGTCGTGGAAAAATAAGAAAAAGTACACAAAGTAGTGATATTCTGGGCCTTAAATTGCTCTTTAAATGATTTGACAGAAAATGCTGAACTTGGAGGCAAGGGTTCTATTGTTCAAATAGTATTCATTTTTTCTTTCAAAACACATCGTTACATTTTTGTTGCTTTTCTCTTTTGTGTGCCAATAAAGAATTGCTGAAATGCCTTCCGAGAGTTTGAGTTATGGAGAATTTCTGGAGGAATGTCTTTGAGGTAGGAAGGTTTATAATTTTTCCATGGGAATTCAGACACGGACTTTTAAAAATTCAACATGAGAGGGATTCGACTTAGGGAAGTTTGAGTTATTCAGGTTCAACTGTAAAAAAGGACACGAAAAGTCTCATTTGCGAGCCTGTCATCCCAATTCTCTATGCCCGGATATTCATACAAAATGTAGGAATTACAGGAGTGAAATCATTCCAAATCAATGCCTGGAACATTTCCTGAATTTTGTACCTTCTTGAGTGGGAAATCCCCCTGACAGTGTATATATAGGAGGAAAGAAGAATGAGAAACAGACGATTACAACGAATAGTATTGCGCATAACGCTTCACAACTGCTGGTGATTTCTGAGATTTTATTACTAATGTACAACTGTATAGTCCAACCAAGCTGAAGCTTAAATTAACATGAGGCACGCACAGAGGTCGCTTTGGGTCTTATCAATGATTCGACATTTTTCAACATTTATTGTTCAGATGTCTGATTTTTTTAAATGCCAGATTAAGGTATTTTCGAAATATATCTATCAATTAGGTTAATTCATCACAACATTTTAATCTGAACTGTGCTCCTAAATAGATTTTTGTCTTATAAATTATTCAAAATTTGTGCAGTTGTTGTTCTGATGTCTGTTCTTTTTTAGATTACGCGTAGAAGGTCTTGGATATGCTTTATTTTGGGAGCTATGCATAACGGTTGCATGTCTGATTATTCGCTTAAGTGAAGGTTAAGGTGATGCCCCCCTTGATGACAGAGGGGCCCTTCTATGTCTTCCGCCTACATAAGAGCTTTTTTAAATATGTTATCAACAGGTTGTTGCATCACTGCGATTTTACCCAGCAAACTGTGCACGGAGATATCGGACATGCCTAACATACAGAGTGTTGCAGAATAGGGGACGAAGAACTGCTGTTGGTACTCACAGCAGCATCCTGGCCTCCGGAAAACACCGTATCTCCAACACTCACGATCTTGGTGACAGAGTCATCATGTGCACCAACAACCAGCATGACGGACTCTTGCAATTCCGGCAGCCTCAAGGCCTGAATCGTCCCGTCGTAATGCCCTGCATCACGCATGGTTCCAGGGCCACGTCACAAATTTGCACAGCAACTAAATATTTTTACATATTTCTATGCTCATGTCCAGTGTTGAGTGCACCAATGTTTGTCTCGTATCATCATGAAGAATATATGGAGCCACATGCAGATAGCGGTTGAACCTTTTGATTGATGGTTTATGTATACTGTATATAGATCGTTTCAAAATCTCATGGTCTTCGGGAATTATAATCAATCTGTTGTCTCCCGGTTATCTCCACGTGTATTTTGTGTACTGATATGTCTGTATAAGGTCTTTGAAATGTTCTAGAAATTTTGAGGAAATTTTAGGATATATTTCCTTGATTTTAATGAGCCATTTCAAGGGTCTGGGGCCCATTAAAAGTATTCCTGCACTTTCTTAAGGAAAAACACGATAACGAACTATTTGCTCAGGGGAATGGATTATCAAGACCCCACTGTACTGTATTTCCTGTCATAATAATACTGTAATGAAGCCTAAAATGAGAGAGTGAGTGTTCCGACTGTGATTTGGAATCCTCTGAACCCACAGGATTCCATCCCCAACAAGGAGTTCTAAGGTTTATTCCAATAAATCGCAGCATCATTAAATCACTCTCGTTGGAAAGTCCATCAACAACAACAGAAAAGAGAGCAGGAAAAAGTAGACAAAATTCAGAGATCAGACAAATAAAGAACTACGTGTACAGTACATGACGGGAGAGCACAAGGAGACAAGTGAACCCCTGAGTAAATTTGCAGTAAGTCTCGTATGAGATGTTGAAACAACTTAGACGGCTTAAATTATCCTCACCAATGTAGAGGGATCCAGAGTGTACAGCCAGGGATGAAATCGACGCATTTCGCTTGCAGATCTCGTCCTGAAGTTGAAGGGTCTTCTCATTGTTGTCTGTCTGACAGATCAGATCCCATACCTGAAAATCAAGCGTCAAAAATCTCATCATGCATGTGACATCTCCTCGGGGACACCAGCAAGTGTTTCATGTATAGAAAGTGGTCATTCCGTGACAATTGCTACTGTCAATATATAAATTGTACAGTATATTGGTGTTCTAAAATATATTAATTGTACATACAGGATATTGTCTGCGTGACTTTAGGCTAGTTTAATTATAGATGTACTGTAATATATTATGCCACCATTATTGTAGCAGAAAGATCATACTTTTTCAATCATGGTTGGGATTGCTTGAAAAGGAAGCTGTTTAAAATCCATGTTGAATCACGTACCTTTATGAATGAGTCCTCGCCGGCAGAAAATAATTTTCCACCCTGATAAGCAAGTGCTTGGATGTCATCTTCGTGACTCTTTTCCGCGATGCCCACTTGATTCACCAAGGATAACATTTTAGGAATGGATCTTGATTATAGTACAACACGTTCCAATATACAGTAGCCCTTTCACAAATAGTCCTTTGTTTATTCGAAAAGCATCAGGGTTAAATACTGAACAGCACTTCGAAGCTCAATGCAATACAGCTGAAGCACCAGGATTTATTTCAAGTGCTATCATTGTTGACGCAAGTCACGTAGGTCATCAAAAACCTCAGAGCTTGCATCATTGCTCAAAAATTCTGGAAAAATCACGTCAATATAAAACTGATGGTTCGCGGAAATATCTTCAACTGTGAGTCTAGGAAAAATATTTATTCAACAAACGCGGAAGATTTCGGGTGAAAAACACAATCGTAGGCACATTTTTATTGAGAAAAACCGTGATGAGGGAGTACATATACATGTATATTGAAAACTTATAGAACAGGGCCTGACATCAGCAGTGACATGTCACGAGTCACGACATGTCATTATTATTGTAATTCGTTTATATACTGTGGGCCCCGACATGCGGACATCCTGACACTTGCACGATTCATCTTAGGGACCCTTGAAACTCAAAAAAATCTGCTCTGACTTGAAAGCAATGTCTGAAGATAGTTACACTTCATCAAAATGTATAGACAAATGGAAAAATTTTTTTCAAAATTTCTACATCTCTTGGAAAGATTGAGCTTTTTATAGCCACAAAAATTAAAATTTATTTTCATTACAAATGGAATTCTGCTACCACGAACTTATTGTCTACAATGATTTTTCTCTGTAGCGTAAAACAAATTTATTTCTGGTCCCAAAGGGCTTTCTCCCCATTTATGTCATAGGGATTTTCTACAATGGAATTCCCTCTACGACGATTTTTTTCGTGTCCCTTACGAGTACATTTGGTTGTAGAGAGTTACTATAACGAAGGCACCATAATGCATCATTCAGAACAAGCTAATTTTGTGCTTCTTTCTTTGTGAGTTCTTTCCATCACATGTGCACATGTAGGCGTGTGGTTGTTCTTTTCTTTTCCGGTTAATATCCATGCCAAAAGATCATATTCTGAGTGGTTTTTATGCAAATTTATTTTCTGTATCATGCGGATTTGAAGATTATTTTATTCCTTTTTGGGACTTTATCTCAATTTTTGATCAACAGCTATAAGAGAACCAATTGACTATCTTCCCATGAGGATAAAGGTGATCCAGTGTACGTGGACTTTCCAGCGTCCACATCTCACAAAACTATATTTCTGTAGAATAAATAAGGCTTTTGATGGTTTTTCTTCGCACCATTCTCAGTGGAAAAAAAAATAGGGAACACAACATCAAGGATCCATGCTCACTTTCCAAGCTCTACTGAAGCACAAATCATACGGGTTCTACTTCAATATACCCCTGTTGTTCCAAGAATAGCACACCAACTGCGAGGCTGAGGCTTAGCTACGCCGCGTGCCAACCGTAGTATTGAATCAACGGCGCACATGCAACATCTAGTGGCACGTGTCTGCATTACTCCGCAGCATCGGGCATGGTGAACTTCATGCGCAGTTCTATTTTTACCAACACAACTCTATTGACCAGCAATGTATGTATATACTGTACTGTAAATAGTTCAGTACAGTGTCTTCAACCATGTTTATATGATGGAAGATCCAGGTGCACTCGAGCGTCTGACGTTGCGGAGGTGATTCGTGTCTTAAAATTTCAATAATCCCTGACTTTTCCAAAGTATTTTCACTGACCCAGGTATCTTGTGGAAAGATGTGAGGATGTTGATGTTTATCCTTATGCTGCATTGTAGGATGTAAGACATAATGTACTGAACCGTAATGCAGTGTGGCAGAAAATAAATAAATGCACTGGTTTTGATTGGTACCAGAAAATAGCCAAATACTCATATTGGCTTGCATTTCTAAAAAAAAAAAACAGTACCACAGCTTTGACGCGTCAAAGGGCATTATTCCTGAATGTGGAGGAGGTACAGTACTGTATAAGTGAGTGGAACACTATAGTGATCTAGTATGCGTCAGCATTTTGTTGTTGTTTTCGTTGAAAAAAATAGGCTAAATCTCTATAAACTACACCTTATTCAAGGAAGAACAACAATCCGTCTTATAATAACCCAGATTATTGCTCCGAAAAGAAACGCACACTATAGTCATGTCGTCATCATTGTGATTAGTCGGAAACAACCCAAAAAGATATTTAAAATAATTTCTGGAACAGGTAAGAAATTCAAAGGCAGATATAAATATTTTACGTGTTGGCTCGAAATAAGAGGAAGAGATGCGGTTATTATTGACAAATGAAATAATAATAAGAGTATTCATAAAAAATGATTGATTGCCGCTAAACTTAACCAGCATAAATTATATACAGCACTGTATTTAAAAATTACTGTGTATGACTGCTTATCGTGGCAATTATTTGCCACGATTGTTTCTCAGAAAACTGCAGAATGTTGCCCAAAACTCATGAAACAGGACCATATTTCTAGCGGTGGCCAAGGAATTCTACCCTGATGTGCGACTTTCGGGGATTTTCAGCGACTGTACGAGCGACACCTAGATATTAATATGTTTTACTTGTTCTCTTCAGTGAGACCTTTGAAGTAATGAGGTCACTCGTATGTACTGCTCTGCCCGCTGCTGCTCCTTTTCTCTCAATTCCTATCGTTCTGTCTAGTCTATAGTTGTATACTTGTATTGTAGGATACCCGGAAAGCTTATACACATACGCAGTAAAATATACACTGATAAAACTGTATCATATTGTATATACCGCTGAACAATTAAACTAAATGCTGCATGTTATTGTATATCAGAATAAAAGTAGAGTACTGTACTGCATTTTCAAACTAACCTTCAAGATGAGTGTGTCCATATATATATATACCGACGTATGATTGAGCAACTGCTATATGAGTACAGATTATGCTGTAATGATGTATATACTTTTGCAGTATTATATATAAATTATTGCACTCATGTTTTTCGGTGCACTGAGGTAAATGAAACGGATTTATAATACCTTACGTGTGTACAGTATATATAGCAGGAATACGTTCGAATCATCACGTGTATCCACCAATGCAGCACTCAATATTCCACAGTGTGTAAATATGATGGCTCAGTACAGTATCAGCTGATGTATATAGGATAGGCAGTATTAGTGTATTGAGGAATGCATAACAGCGTTTACAGGTTGGTGCTGTCAAGTGAGGTGTATGATATTTCAAACGAATCGTGTGCTGCAGATTAACTTATGTACAATGCACAGTATTGTTTTCCAACCTGGAGATACATGGAACATATACTGTATTTACACGAATAATGGCAGCTACTACATAATAAATGTAAAGTTGTGCTTCATACATGATGCAGCATACAGCATGCGTTAAAAAATACATGAACCCAGCATCGGATTATGTGCTATATTTTGTTGATTCATATGATTTAGCAACCCATCAACCCATGGACAGTTGTAGATGTTCTATACTGTATGAGGATCCGCGATGAGGGTACCGTAATAAGTCTGAGGGGAATACATGCGCGCATATAATGTTGAATGCAATGTACAGCAGTAACCCAGGCTTGCTGAGAGCGCGGGATTCATCGGAGATATTGTATGCTCAAAAATGCCTTTATTTTGTTTCTTAGCATAGATGTCGTGTGTAAGAAATGTCATGGCGGCGCCCTTTATCAGAGGTAGCTGTTCACAGCTTGTAGACCAGCGCCAATAAGTTTGAGGCGTACTCGATTGCTTAAACACTCTCATGGCTGCGTTCTGTGTCCATCGCAGCTGATGATCGAACCTATTGCGGACTTGCGGTTCAACCTTTGAAAGAATTCGGGAAACCTATGTGCAGGAATGATTCGCAGCGAAGGGTTGGAAGTACGGTTTATACGATATATGCTTGCCTCGGATTTTTACAGAAGTGTTAGGTTGAAACTGGGGGCAGTTTCTCGGAGTTTCGTAGTGATCTGTTGAAATGTTTGTGTTTTCTCTACGTACGTTGGAACGCCGTCGATTTTCATGGTAGTTTCGAGCGGAACTTGACTGAATCATGGGTGTAAGAAGAAGCGAGTTGTGTATTCGTTGTACTCGTGAAGTAACTTTCTAGATGTTTGCAACTAAGCTAACATCCGTGTTGATCGGAGATCTGTTGCTAAATTTGTTTTTCAAGTGGGAGCCTTCGGAAATATTCGCGTGATGTTTTCGACCTGAGTAATTTTAATGATCTTATGTATGCAAATTGTATAAATTTTCTGAAGTTTTAGAAATTTTCGTGGTTTCTTCATCTTTAATGAGATTAGTTGGAGTTAGATCTGTACAAGATTGCAGAACCCAAGTATTGATACTTGGCTTTTCCTTCCAGGCGCGAACTGAAATTTTAGAGCATATAGATTCCATTGTGTTGGCAGCGAAACTCCCTGTGTACAGATTTGCATTTCTAAGTAGGAATGTAGCGAAAGCCTTTACAGGATTTCGCTTTTAGTATTGACCGTGTATTGAGACGCTGAAGTACCCAGAAATTTTCAACAACGTCTCGAGTGATTTTTTCCAGTCGTCTTCGATTGATCGCTGGTAAGATTCGTGCCGTGATTTTCTCATGTTTTGCTGATTTCTTTTAAATAATGACATCTAATGTTAAGCGCGTTGGCTGTGGTACACCTGTGCCTACAGTGTAGCCTAAACCTAGAAATTCGTTATACAGACTTTGATGAGTATTAATCCGTGCTATCTAGTATTTGATTGATGATAACTTGACGTTTCATAGTTTCTCAGTAAACAAGTGTGATCTTAAGTGTGTCAGCTGAAAGCGTGTTGCGACCCAGACAATCCTTCGTCCGAATGTTGCTAACTCTCACGCTTCTTTCAGCGTTACGCTTCGAGTGGACATTTGTCGGGGGAGCGATCAACCCCGTCATTGCCTTATTTACGTATTCGGAAGAATCTGATCCGTTGTGACCAGCTACATCGTAAGCATATTTTGACATTGTTGTGGTGAAAGAAACACTGGTTTGCGTTGCGCAGTGTGGTGGATTTTGTCGGCGTAGCATGTGAAAGTGATGAGCTTTCCCTCTAAGCAGTACTGTATTTGCCGATGTTCCGATTCGACTGTCCTATTCATTTCTTCTGCAACTGTCGTTCACTGGAATTTTCCTTCGGATCAATTCGTTATTTCCTGTCGTAAACGTCGTAACGAATTATTATATTCCCTTTATTATGACTCCTGTTGTTTTCCGTGTGATCGAGTTATCTACTGGTTTTGCAGCTACTCACGGTTGCGCTTCTTTCGTCCACTAGGTTACAAACAGCGTGATAGTTTACCTGTAAAGAGAAGAATTAAAGTGCTACTCGTTGTTCTTGTATTACCTGACTGCGTCAGTGTTTTTCTCGAGGCATAAAATGTGGAGCGATTCGGAAGAACAAGATGACCTGCATTTGACGAACTTGAATGCACGGGTCAGGATGAAGAGAATCTATGTCCTTTTAAACCATATGGTAGACTGTGAGGAGTGCTCTTCCAAAGCTTTTGATAAAAACTGGTGAGCTGTGGTCGCACCCATTTTTTCTCGCGTGTAATTGCTAGCCATTTTTGCCACTTCCAGTCATCTGTCTGCTACGCATTGTTTGCCTGCGAACTTCGCTGCGGCTTTTGTACGGTGATGGATTGAATAGTTGAATCGTGCTTGTGTAATCGTGAATTACGGTTAGTGGAGATTTTTTTACGGCAATATTTTGGTCGTGCAGGCTCAAGCTGGTGTTCCAGGAGAAACCAACAATCGGAGGAGAGGACGACGAAGAAGAGTCGGAAGCCGTTGGGCAACCGTCTCTTTATCAAAAGCTGGTCGAAGAGGCGAACACGTTCGGAGCGGTGAGCGCCGCAGTGGCGCAGGTAAGTTTCAGTTGAAGTTTACCGGATGTGTGTTAGCAATTCAAGAGGGGAATATTTTGCGAGGGAAAAAATTACTCCGGATCTCTCAGAATGATAGAAAAAATTTTCAGTGTCTGCAGCTACTTCTAAACATGAAGGCGGCCAGCGTCGATGAGCGGGGTAAGGGAGACTGCACCCCGCTTATGGAAGCTGCGTCAGCCGGCCACATCCAGATCGTGCAGCTGTTACTGCAACATGGCGCAGACGTGAATGCCCAGTCGTCATCGGGAAACACACCGCTCATGTTCGCCTGTTGCAATGGTCACGATGAGGTTGTAGAAATCTTGCTGGCGGCCGGCGCAAACCTCGAAGACCATAATGAAAATGGACACACACCTCTGATGGAAGCAGCCTCGGCCGGACACGTCAGTGTAGCCAAGATTCTGCTTCAGCATGGTGCTAGCATCAACACTCATTCAAGCGAGTTCAAGGAGAGCGCCCTCACGTTAGCGTGCTACAAGGGACACCTACCCATGGTCCAATTCCTGTTGGAGAACGGTGCCAATCAAGAGCACAAGACTGAAGAAATGCACACGGCACTGATGGAAGCTTCCATGGATGGGCACGTTGAAGTGGCACGGCTGCTGTTGGATTCTGGTGCGCAGGTCAACATGCCGGCAGATAGTTTTGAGAGCCCCCTCACGTTAGCTGCTTGCGGCGGACATGTGGAGCTTGCTATGCTTCTGTTGGAACGCGGCGCGAACATAGAAGAAGTCAACGACGAAGGCTACACACCGTTGATGGAAGCAGCCAGAGAAGGCCACGAAGAGATGGTGGCGCTATTGCTAAGCCAAGGTGCAGATATAAACTGTCAAACGGAGGAGACGCAAGAGACCGCGCTCACCTTGGCATGCTGCGGCGGTTTTCTGGATGTAGTGGACTTCCTGGCAACGGCGGGTGCGGATTTGGAGTTGGGATCCAGTAAGCCGCTCATGGAGGCGGCGCAGGAAGGCCATGCTAGGCTCGTTCGCTACCTAATCGACTCTGGTGCTAACGTGCATGCCCAGAGTTCGACGGGCGACACGGCGTTGAGTTACGCATGCGAAAACGGGCATACGGCAGTGGCCGAGATTCTTGTGAGTGCCGGCGCGAACGTTGAACACGTGAGCGAAGGCGGACGCACGCCGCTCATGAAAGCGGCTAGGGCTGGCCATGTAGAAGTCTGTGCATTTCTCATCCAACACGGGGCCAACGTCAATAAGCCTACCACCAATAATGACCATACACCCTTATCGCTGGCCTGTGCAGGCGGTCACCTTGGCGTTGTCGAGCTCCTCCTGCAGCACGAAGCAGATCCTTTTTACCGCCTCAAGGTGAGGGAAAGTGAATTATTTCATTCTCGAGCAGCAGTGCTTCTAATTTCCAACATCATGTCTTGACGAGATATTTGCTTCATGCCAGTATTTCTGATGAGTCTTGGTTCTTCTACAGGACAATTCAACAATGGTGATCGAAGCCTCGAAGGGCGGCCACGCGAACGTCGTACAATTGTTGATGGACTTCCCTAGTTCGGTGCTCGTTACTCCGTCGCCGCCGCCTGGAATGCTGGGCTCAACGGCTTCTGATGTGCACGGGCCCGGCGGAGTCGTTGTCCTACCCCCGTCAACGTTGAATTCGTCCCCTGCCGTGGCAGCGGCGGCAGCAGCAGCCGCCGCTGCGGCTGCTGCTACTGCCGGCGTTGGTGGAACCACGGACCGGGTGACGAGGACAGGAAGGCGCATCTTGGGTGGACGACTTGGTGGATTCGCTGGCAAGAAACTTGCGAAGAAGGATGAAGACGCCGACGATAGCGACAAGACCGAGCTTCTGTCTGATGATGATGACGAAGATGACGACGAGGATGAGGAAGACGATGATGATGATGAAGATGAAGAAGACGAGGAAGAAGAAGAGGAGGAGGAGGATGCCGGCTTCCCAGGTACGTAACTAGCAATTTATGAACACAACTGTGCATTTCGCCTGTGCATTACTCTTCCTGAGGTTAATAATCTACGTTTACTGCAGGCGAAGACGAGGAAGAAGATGACGTGGACCAAGAACTAGGCGAACTGGAAGAGGATGAAGACGACGAAGACGATGACGGAGTGGATCGCAGCGAGGACGAGCAGTTTGACGAAACAAAACGAGCTGGAAACGAAGCGTCTGCGGCAACGGCTTCTATCAACGATGATACCGGCGTTCGTGGACGCCCCAAGCCTCGAAACCGCATCCGTCTTAATATGGTAGTCAAGAAAAACGCTACACCTGGGACTGCTGAATCCCCAGCTGAAGATCCTGGTACGGAATTGTGTTTAAATCAATCTTGTTCCAGTGTCATTGATTCGAAGAACGTTGTGTTTTTTGTTGCTACGATTATGATCGTAACTTAAGTAATCGCGTAACTCAGTTTGCAGAAACTATGAGTCGCATTCAAATTCTTCTTTTTTTCTTTTTACATTGTAGGGCAAAGAATTGCCACCGTTGGAACAATGACCACGGGACGCAAACAACTAGTCCGTCGAAGTGTTGACTCAGGTTCTCAAGGAGACGGGCAAGGTCAGGGCAGCTTTGGTTGGGGCTGGGTATCCGTTGAAAGCGCTTTGGGACGGGCTTCTTTGCCATTCACGATGATGCATCAATGCCCCACAACCGGCGAAGGAGGGCCTCCCAAAACGGTGAGTAAAAAGATTCGAAGCGACGAAGCTGGGATCGAATCCCAAGTATCCGAAGTGAAAGATCTCTTCCAATATTAAACGCACTGTGTAGGAATGTGACAATGACATGTTCAGAACGCAATACATAAAGTCGAGTGTTTACGGAATTCAATGGATTTTGTATTCAGTAGCGATTTGTATTAATTTAACAACGGAAAAGCGTACATGGATGTAATAAGTGGGTTTATATGTTTCTCAACTTCGAACAACCGTACTGCCGAAACATCGGGAGAACTTCTTCGAATCCTTGTTGAAGTTTCGTTTCTTGAAAGAACGGAATACCATGTTCCGTTTCTTAATTCTGTACGATATTTCGTTTCTCCCAAAAGAAAGGAGTACGATTTATTGATCTTTTTTTCTGACTTGTGTACTGCGGAGTTTTCAATTTTGATGCGATGGAAATACGGTATTAATAAAATATAATTCGTCATCATTTTTCAACGTAGAGCATTAATGTTTTCTTCTGGTAATTTTCCAGAACTTTGCCCCTTCCCCTGATGCATGCTTCTGTATTCAGGCTGTAGGTCAGCTGCGAACATTTCTGTTGAACCGATGTTAATATGATTCCGAATTATTTGTAATTCATTCCTGTTCCTGCTGGTTTCTGGTAGACAGTTTTAAGCCCTGAAAAATCTCGATCCGGCTGAAGGGAAAGATAGATTACTTGGTACTGTTTCCGATTATTCGCGGAAATTTGCTGCTGACTCACAGTTTTCTTCTGATTACAGAGGGACTATGCTTGTCTCCTTTCCGTTTTAAATAGGCATACAAATTTAAGAAAACCGTCAACAAGCTGTATAACACGTTCCAGTAAAGCTGTTTTTGCTTATAAACGAAAATATTCAACAAACCCGGGAAAGTTAAAACGCGCGCCCATAGAACCTGATAATTCCTTGAAATTCGGGCCGAACGGAAATTTATTGTGTAGAAATTCGTATTCTGTAAGAAATTATGTCTGGTTCCCTTGCCATCTTGCACGAGGATGAATTCAGACGGTTGCTTGATGACGTAAGCAGGATCATTAGTTCATGTTGATCTTGTTTCTTCCATCTGTTCTAAGACACATGCTGCTGCATATTGTATAGAGATGAATTAATAGTTGCAATGTTATTGTGTTCACGTCTTCACGCTGTATTTAGGAGGATTTGGGCACGCAAACGGGAGAAGACTTGAAGTACAATACGACTACGCCGCAGCCTGACGCGGCTGTTGGCGGCGCCGGATGGAACAGGAACTCCGGAGCTTACGTAAATCGATTGATGACTCTGCCACCTGAACCCACTGTCGAAGAACGTGTTAGCTGGACTGCTGCGGGATCTGGTGGAGCTGGTGCGATGATATCTGCCGCTTCTCCGCAACTCACATTCGTTCATGATACACCTTCCATCGAAGTAACTCCAGAGGAAGCGAGGCGGTATAAAGAAGAAATTCTACACGGGCTGCAGGTGCGATTTCTGCCTTTCATCCGTGACAATAAACGTTATTCAATTGTGGTTGTATGCTGATGTTCGCCCTGACCGTCGTACTTCCGTTTTTTGTCTGAAGATGCTAGTGTAGTTGATGTTGATCCTCGATAACTTGAACCTCCCTATTTCCTTATCTGAATTTCCTTAGAAACAATGCATTAGTATCCTCTAACTCGAAGGCTTCCCCCTCAACCATCCTAACTTGAATTTTCTCTTTGCATTTTGTGTCTTATATTATTGGCAAAAAAGATAAGAGCAATAAAAATGTAATTTGATATGTTTTGAAGAAAGGGAAAGACCTATTGGGAAAATGAATCCTTGTCTCGAACGTTCATCATACTGTCAACTCATTTAAGAAACGATTTGAGGCACAGGATTTAACCAATTACAATTTCCCGTCATTCTTCCTCTTCTCCCCTCCACAAATACGTGTTGTATCTACAATTTGTGTGCTGGTCCCTTGAAGTTTTACTTAGAGAGGTTCGACTGAAGTTTTCCCATTTTATGAAGAGTGAGGATGTCATCGTTTCAGATGGTCGAGTTGGAATTGGAGGCCGCTAGGCAAGCAAGTTGCAAGAAGAACCCAACACAGCATCAACACAACCACATCGGGCGCGGATCGGGGTCTCGTCCATCTCCACAACCTCGCGGCGGCATGATATCCGCGGTCGCCGCCGGAACAGGAGGAGGGGGAAAGAAACCATCTGCCTCTCATGGGGTTTGTACTAGAAAAGGATACTCGATCTGATTATAAATGAGGTGCTGTCTTCATTTTCGTGAAAGCAAAGAATGCTGAGCGTTGATCTATTTCCATAAAGAAATTTAAAGTCGGAAGAATGTTTTCTTGAGGGTCTCTTCTCGAAGTATACAAGCGTTAATCTTTCAACGGAGTTCTATCACTCAGCTACCTCACGGGGTAGCCTAGCAGCGACGAAGACTTTCTTCGGAAGAAACTTGTGAATGATTCGCATCCTTCGCTATCCGAAGAACTCAATTGGATTAGCAAATGCATTATATTCTTTACTCGTGTTTCACTTAACCCTGCTTGAAACTCGGTCATCGTTGTTTAAGCTTACAGTTATTTGGAAACAAATCTCAAGTTGGCGTGGAATTCCTCGATGTGTGTATGACACGTTCATGCTTGTTTAGGCAATTTTTTTTGCAAAATTAAACCTACCGTGGCAGTTCTATGCGGGGTTCGCTGACTGTTTTCACTTCGGCTTCTAGACGTAACAGTCAAACGCTATGCGAAAACTTGAACTATATCATCTGAGGAGCTCCAACCTCATGACTAGAAGTTAGATGCGGTCTGTTCGGAATTTCTATTTGAAATTATCATTATTTATTTCTGATTGCTACTCCGGTGAGGTCTGCGGACGAAACCAAGTTTAATTTATGCAGTTTTTCGATTGTATCGGTTCGAACTAGCTGGATTTCATGTACATTCTTGGTTCATACCAATTTGACGGAGATGTCAATCCGCGAACTCTCATTCCTCGTGAATTAGTCCATTAAAGGCCTAGGGTTTGACTCCGTAGAAGCTAACCCTACCAAACTTTACTCTTCCTTACGCAGCTGCCGCAACGTGGGAAGCACATCAAGTGTGCGGAGAAGAAACCAAGCTTAACCCAACAACAAGCTACCACGGATGGCAAGAAGCTTGCTCTGACGGAAGCCGACGAGAAGGCACTGTTCGATGCTGTACACGGTGAGTTCTGTTAAATTTTGGCGATACGAGGAGCATTCAAAGAATCTTCGCCTCATTATTGTGGAGCCCGTGTTTCGGTTCGAAAATGTGGCGTATGTTGAATAATATGGAATCTTTCTGAAGAAAATCTAAGCATGAAGATAATGAAGTGTCGATGTGAAGTAACTTTCCATTTTCAATTATCTTCGGTGTCAAACGCACGATTGCATGGTCGGTTTTGGAGTAGGTAAGTCGTATGAACATGTTGTTGTAGAGCGAACAGTAACGGTGTTGACTTCGGCATGTGAATAGAGAAGGACGGAGTCATCATAATGTATTTTTATTATGGGTCGCACGCAATTTTCTTTTATGGTTTTTTAAATTGCTAATTTAGGCCTTTGCCAATGCTTGTATTGTATTTTGATCTGTACTTGAACTAGAGCAAAATTCCTGAATTTGGCATTTGAAATCGAGTATGTGTCCTTGGCTTAGAATTCCTGGTGGGCTGACTTCTCAAGGTTGGGTTCTTCACTTCATGAAGTTGTTGGGATACGAACGATGCAGGAATGAGCATTTGATAGTTGTTAGGGGTGAATTTATGAATGCCCCTCGTATTGTTGACGGGGTAGACACTGGGAAGTCAGTCGGTGTGAATTCCCTTCCGTGTATCGTGGCTGTTGTAGCGAGGCGGAGTTCAATGTTCGACGAATGGAGCAAAGGCTGTTGTGGTAATTGTTGTCGCGGCAGCGCCGCCGGAGGTTTGTCGTCGTCGTCGTCAGCTCAATTCGCGTTTAAGCCTGGGAAGAGCAGCGGGGCTGATGCGGCGCGGATTGCATTCCCGTTTGCAGGCGGCGAGGACTTGGTCGGGCTGACGCATCTGCAGCAACACCACCAGCAGCAGCAACAGCAGCAGCAAACAGGCGTGCGAATTAGCCGGGAGCAGCGCGTACCGCACCACCACCACCACCATCATCATCACCACCACCATCACATGCATTCCCCTCCTGGTCATTGTGGCCAACTGCCTCTGCACTGTCAGGCGACCGGCGGGGCCTCTACACCGGCGACGACGGCACCGCAACACGCACCGGCTACCGGCGGGCTTGACGTCAACTGCGAGACGGACTCCAACCATGACACGGCGCTTACGCTAGCCTGTGCTGGCGGCCACGACGAGCTGGCCAAACTGTTGATTTCTCGCGGGGCCAACATTGGTACGTTGGATACAATATCAGTTACCTTATTTACTCGATTATGAGACGCTACGCTCGCTTTTGTTCCTCGATAATTGAAATTTCGCTTTTCAATGTGAGATGCGTGAAACTTCTTCTGAATATGGGGATTTCGTCAATTATGCTTTAGCTTCAGAATAAAGCAGGGCTGCCCAACATACGGCTCGGAGAGACTCTTCATCCGTCCCGCAGTCCATTTCCTATACGGTTTACGGTAGCAGCCACCACTAATCGAAATATAAATTTGAAGATTAATTTTACTAATTAGAAATTTGCCCTACCCTTGACTATGCTTGTGATCCAGTCCATGGCATTGAATTGACTGAAACTCTTCTTAAAATTTTGTGAACTTGGAACCTCAGAAATTGTCTATTGTGGTCCACTAGGACTCTCTACCTTTGCAATGTGGCCCTTGACCATATTTGAGTTAGGCAGCACAGAATTAAAGCTTACCGTAATATCTTCGAGCACTATCCTATCATGAAGCCGGAAATGTAGCCTCGCATGAAAAGCGTCCGGATGAGATTTTCGGTCAAGGAATAGGAAGGTTGGAGTTGCATGTATATTTTTTCGTCTTGATCAGAACACCGTGACAAGAAAGGCTTCACACCCTTGATATTGGCCGCAACTGCGGGTCACTCGAACGTGGTGCAAACGCTGTTGGACGCCGGGGCCGAAATCGAAGCGCAGTCGGAACGCACCAAAGACACACCACTGTCTCTGGCGTGCTCTGGAGGTCGAATGGACGTCGTTGAGATGCTGTTGTCGCGCATGGCCAACAAGGAGCACCGGAATGTTTCGGATTATACGCCGCTTTCTTTAGCCGCGTCCGGTGGCTACGTCAGCATTATCAAGATTCTGCTGGACTCCGGTGCCGAGATCAATTCCCGCACAGGTTCAAAGCTGGGCATTTCGCCGTTGATGCTTGCTGCCATGAATGGCCATACTGGTGAGCTATTTGTGATTGGACATCCGTAATGTGAAAGGTCAACTTCGTTGATCTGTCACCGGAGAATGAGGCATGCTTTGCATCTGTGGTGAAGGTCCCCGAAAGGGACAATATTCATTGACTTCGACAATTTGGCTTTCCATTTATCCCGTTCCTGGTCATTGAACTGCGATCAGCTTTTAGTCTCTGAACTTCGCTTTGTGATTATTAAATGCTTGCAGTAATTTCAATTTCTGACTCGGTTAGCTAAAAAGGACATATAATCTAAGCGAACCTATTCGAACATATCTCCAGGTTTAGCCGATTATTGCAGTTGAAGTTCCTGTGACATTTTTCTCTATTTGTTGAACGCCTGCAATCAATCTTGAACGTTTTAACTGAGTGGTTCGTTGTTGCGCAGTGTTATCAAAGTAAGGTCCATTTTTATTGGTTTCCAATGTATGATGATGTGGAATAACTGATTAAGTTCGACGTTTTCTCTTCTTGTGACTGTTCTTATTTCGGTGATTCTGTGATGAACATCATGGTTCAACTGATACGCTAATTTTACTGAACATATACGATGGCATTTTCTCTTTTCCACGGGGTTTAAAAATTTTTTTTCAAGCAATCACTCGATGAATCCATTTGTTCCGACTGGTTCCACGAAGCAATCAGGGCGATGCTGCGCCCTTGAAAGTTCGGCTTATGATTTTCCTTTAACTGATGGCATTAGGGTTGTTTTTCCTGAAAAATATGCAGTAATTTTTTTTCGGGAGCAATTTCTAAATTTTTTGAGCGGTTACGCGGAGTTGATAATTTTCTGTGAATGATCGTATTTCTAGCTGCCGTTAAGATGCTGTTGGAGAAAGGAAGCGATATTAACGCTCAGATTGAAACGAATCGAAATACAGCCCTGACGCTCGCATGCTTCCAGGGGCGCCATGAAGTGGTCGCGCTCCTGCTGGAGTACAAGGCAAATATTGAACATCGGGCCAAGGTAATGTTTCTCCTCCACCCTCCCTGTTTTTTTCCGGCGACAGTGTAGCCGCGGTTCTGTCAAGTTTCAATTCTCTGTTGTGAGCACGCGCGATTGTGAGGGGATTGATGAAAAAAAAATCGTGTCATTAGTGGAGAATTTTTTTCAAATTCAATATGTATTTCAGAATTATCCTCGCAGTTTTTCTGAATTTTTCATAACGGCGGTAGAACGAGGTATGCAGTTGCGTACTTGCATTGCTGTGAAAATTTTCTTTCATGAATCCACGGTAAATGATTCCGCATTGCGGATAAAATATGGGAGAGTAGGTCGGTTATTTGCCAACTGTCTTTTGCAAACAAAGCCACGATGAATAATTCCTACGCCGTTGAAATTCGACATTTTTTGTGTCAATCCACCGAAATAATAGCCGAATAAAATTCAGTGTCAAATCATGCAATAATTTCAGCGAGGGCAGCATCAGTTCATTACACTTCGGATATCTGCTTCGCGTGTGGGAAGGCAAACTGAGGATTGCTTTATTGATGTGTTGGCGCCTATAAAGGGTCCGCAGTTCGGGATTATGTCCAATTTTCCTCTGCTGGAATCAATATCAAGTACAATCAGTCTAAAGATATTCGGTTCAAGTGAATAACATTTTTTTAATATTCCGCGATGCGAGTACTGTTCTGAGGACGTAGTTGCCGATTTATTACACCATATCCAGTGTTTTTCTGATCGTATCGAGTGTTAGTGTCACAGTTCTACATAGCTTGCTTGTGTTCTTTAGACCGGACTGACGCCGTTAATGGAAGCTGCCTCCGGTGGATTTGTCGAAGTTGGAGCTGTATTGATCGAAAAAGGCGCCGATGTGAACGCTGCCCCTGTGCCATCCTCGCGCGACACTGCGCTTACGATTGCTGCCGACAAGGGCCATTTGCGCTTTGTGGAACTTCTTTTGCAGAAGTGAGTGAAATATGATTGGCTAGATCTATTCTATTTTTTTCTGAGAACAGAACTGTAATTGGAACGTGAGTGATTTAAACCCGTGTCCTTGAAATGTTCTTCGATTCCTGAACCTGAAGTGCGAAAAGCTCATCGCAGATTTTTTAGTTATCTTTTATGAATCGCCGGAACTGTTCTCTCTATGTTGGTTGTATTTTTATTGTTCTATTTATGTCTGGGATTTTGTGTGGTTCTTGTTGAAAAATTACGAACTTTGAAACCATTTCCTGTAACGGGACCAGCACTGCCGTTGGATAATTGCTGACTCTTTTAAAAACTCGGCAACTACCGTATTTATGACTATGTGTACACAAGTTTACGAATTCTTGTTCATCATCGTTACTGGACTAGAAAATGTTCCGCACGTTGATATTCAGTGTCTCCCTATTTTTTCTTAATTCTTTCTAAGCAAGATTCGTGTTCTGTAAAATCGTTAATTCGCCTGATGTATGCAAAATGATAACTTGAGGTTCATTTTTGAAGGGGTGCGCAAGTCGACGTACGCAACAAGAAAGGTAGTTCGCCTTTGTGGCTTGCGGCGAACGGAGGGCATCTCGAGGTCCTGCAGGCACTATACAACGCTGGCGCTGATTTAGATGCGCAGGATAATCGCAAAGTGACGCCCCTTATGGCTGCCTTTCGCAAAGGTCATCATAAAGTTGTGCGCTGGATGGTACGACACGTTACGCAATTTCCCTCAGACCAGGAAACAGACCGCTTTCTGGTGACCGTAACTGACAAGGACTTGAGCAAAAAGTGCCACCAATGCTTGGAAATTATTTCTTCGGCAAAGGAAAAGCAAGCTGCTGAGGCAAACAAAAATGCCAATATCTTGCTGGAGCAACTGGAAGCGGAGCAGACTCGCGAAGAGCACAAAAAGGCAGCTGCTGCCCGCCGTCGCCAGAAGAAGAAAAGCAAGAAGAAAGACAAGAAGGACGATGAGCCGTCTACCAATGCGACTAGTGGCAGCAATTCATCCGCTCGTCGCATCAACGGAAACGATGAAGCGCACGACGGTAGCTGTGACCCGAATGCGTTCAACCTGGAGGATGAAGACGAAGATGATGTTTATGAAGACACTCCACGTGCCGTAGTCGAAGCAGGAACTTCCCACTATCCTCCCCGACGCATCGTTTTAACTGTGAAAGGTGGCTCTGCCAATGTGACTTTAACGCCATTGACGCAGGATGAGCTAACTGAGAAAACGACCTCTACCACGAGTAAGGGAAAAGAAAAGGCGTCTCAGTCATCACCTTCGTCAACTGCTTCGTCAGTTTCATCCTCCTCAGCTGCAAAGTTGCAGCCTGTCACTCCCAAGAGGTCTCAGGCTGAGTCTCAGGACACCACCCCATTCGAACCTGGCGCACAATCCGAATTTACCGGCAAGAAGAGCAAACGGGCCAAAGATAAAGAAGCCGAGAAAGCCGCTACGACCAAGGAGGATCAAGGAAAAAGTGAGAAGAAGAAAGAAGAGACCAAAAAAGGAAATGAATTTGGTGAGATTGATGATCTGTACATATCGGTATATTTGGTAATGCTTCTTCCATTCATAGTTGACCCATCTAAACCGACGTCCCGGAAAGTTCGCGAATGATTTGTTGAAATTTGTAGTTTCTGTGCAATATTCTGGCTCCGACTTTTCAGATATGAAATTAATGGCATGAAACTATTTACAGGGCAATCGAAAGATATCAGCAAGAAAAATGAGAAGAATAAGAAGAAAGATGATGAAGCCTTGAAGCGCAAGCAAGACGACAGTGCATCGTCTCCGCGTCTCAGCGAACCCAAAGAAGACACTACTAAGAAAGGCAAACAGCAGAAGAAAAAGGAACCCACTCCGATGACTGTCACCGCAACAAAGCCTGAGAATACAACTCCTTTGAAAGAATCTGCGCCCAAAAAGAAGGAATCCGCTTCCCCGCCGACTACCAACGCATCGCCGTCGGCGACCACCGTGTCAATGACTTCGCTTTCTCTTGCTTCCCCTGGGGCGCCAGCCCGCAAGGAGGAAGATGAGTGGAAGGAGGTTGTTCGCACTAACCTGACTCGACCCAAGAAGGTTCTCGTACCTGCAAATGCCATCTCACGTGTGATCGGGCGCGGTGGCTGCAACATAAACCGTATCCGTGAAATCTCCGGGGCACATATTGAAGTCGAAAAACAAGGAAAATCTCAGGCCGACCGTACTATTTCGATCAAGTGAGTCAAATCCTGTTCTTTCTGGATGACCTCTGGTCGGGTGTGGTCGTGTCTTATGCCCTTGGAGTCCACGTAAAATCGTGTTTTATTATCCTTGTAATAGCTTCGTGTTCCGTGGATTCAGGTAAGAGGCGGTTTTTTATTACTTGTGACTTCTCGTGATAGGGGCCCGGCCGAAAACAGCAAGCAGGCGGTGTCATTGATTCAAGCACTGATCAGCAATCCAGATAAAGAGCTGTCGGAACTTCTGACCAAGTTCGGACCTCCAGCTGGTGCTAAAAATGCTTCACCCGCCCCTACGGCGCCGAAGGTTAATCCCATGCCGCCAATCACTGTTGGTGCGACGAAGCCGCGCAGCGCCGCTGGCGCGGCAGCAGCTGCTGCTGCTAACGCGAAGTTGGTCGCCGCAGGTTCGTGTTGTTTCCTTATTAATCTGATCAAAATAACTATCATGCCTGAGGGTTTCCGTATGATTTAACGCTCTCTTCGGCTCAATCCCCGTTTTAAATTTTGAAGTACCGGTACTTTAGATTGGACGAGATCTCCAAATATAGGTGGACTTTCTCTACAACGGAATTCAAGAGACAAAATTGGTTGAACAGAACCCCATATAACATGGGGAGAGAATCCTATGTGACCAAAGAAAAGGACTCGTTTTACAGAGAAAATCTTTTTCGGCAGGGTCGTTGAAGAGAGTCCACCTCTATTTGAGTCCCCTGAATCAAAACCGAAAATTATCCCGACCATTTTTACCTCGAACTGGGGATTTTTCATTCTTCTGACCAAGTTGGAAATCATCTCTAGACCTAACATAATGTTTTCCTTGATGTTGAAAGCGTGTGTGGGAAAGACGTATTGCATGTCTGGAGAATCTGCAGTTGAAATTATAAGTTAGGTACAAATGACTTGAAGTGCGAATTGGGCATTCAAACTACTCCTGTCCCAATGGATTTGAATAAATTGAGTTTTACTAAATTTTTATGACGCCCAGGTGGAACTGCCGTTTCGGGAGGCGCAGCTGTCGGCGGCGCCTGGGGCTCGTCCGCTCCGAATTCCCCGAAGCGCGGCCCGCTAGGCGCCCCATCGAGTGTCAGCGGCGTACCGCCACGCATGGCGGGCAAGTCAAACGCGCCGTCTATGACATCGCAAACCTTCACAGCTGCTGTTGGAGGAGACCGCAAAGCTCACACCGCGTCGTCCGCTGCTGGCAAAGCAACCACGTCACAGACGCAACACCAGTCGCAGATGCAACAACAACTATTGCAGCAGCAAGCCCGAGGCCAGCCCGGTGCGCGCCGTGAAGACCGTTTTGGCCATGACGATGACTCGTCTTCGTCGTCTGCCGCCCCTGTGGCCACTCCCAAGCCTCCGGAAGAATTCAATCCGTTCGGCAGGAATCTTTTTACGGAAGTGGCGAACAAGACTATCTGGAATCGTGACGAACCATCTGAGGGAAGGCCAGCGACCGCAGCACCAGCCAAGAACTTCGCAAGTGTTGCCGCAGCTGGATTGGCGTCTGCAACGGGCAACTCAGCTCCGGTGGCTGCCGCTGCACGAGAACAACAACCGCAGTTCGACGCCAGCAAGGCACCTGGTTATCGTGGTGCGTCTTCCAACGTGACTTCTTCGTCAAATCAACCTGTTGGAACCGGAAGCAGTGGTGGCTCTAGCACGCAAGTTTCACCTGTAGGAGAAGGCGGACACTTGGCTGCCCGTCCGACGAGTGCACCCGGAACCCCGGGTCCTCATTTTCCGCCACCAAACCTTCACATGCCGCCACCACCAATCCGTGGACGCATGATGCACACGCCGCCACCTGGCAATTTCTCTACGCCGCCGCCTGGAATGGAGCGACGAATGAAGCCGCCGCCGAACATTCATGGAGATCCGTTGGCTCCTGGTGGCCCGCTTCCGTCATCGATGCTTTTGCAGACCGTGCAACAGTCACCAACTGCCTCACCAACCAAGAATCTCGCGATGCTTGAAGCCATGGAGAAAGTGCGCTCTGCTTACGGACCACAAAGTCCGATGAAAAACATCTCTCCTCGTGCGGCACCCAACGGAATCGATCGCGGGGACTGGAGTGCAAAGAAGCCGGTGAGTTTCGGTTAATCGCACCGAATAACATATCTATATATCGTTGGATTTTCCGAGCTACGCGACATTGAAAGAATGTTTTACCCTTGTGAAGTTACGAGTCTGAACTGCATATACAGTTACAAGTTACTGTAGTTGAACCGCAATGACTCGAGCCATCCTATGTCGAATGTGTTTCAAGTCCCTCTCTGAATTTCCTTAGAAAAAGTGCATTGAAAAAACCTCCCGAACTCCTGGACTTCCTTAAGGCCTAGAATATCACCGATTACAATTTCCAGTACATTAAACCCTCTCTCCTTCAACGAAAGTGCTTGTTTCCCCGACTCAAAACCTCCCTATGGCGAATTTTCCTTGCTGCTTCCTTTAAGTTTGACTTGAAGACGTCTGACTGGAAAAGTTCTTGAAATTTCTCAAAGTTTCTTTTTTTTTTTTTTTTTTTTTTTTTTTTTGGGTGTATAATAAAGATTCCTTATAAAAGGGCTTACGCTAGCGATGGATAACTGTTCCAAACTCGATCCTACAGATCGGGCTCCTGGAAGTGGTTACCGGCCAATGCCTATTCCTCCGCCTGCGCCTCCACCGGGCTTCCAGCCGCAGAGATCGTCAGGTAAATAGATCTGCTCCGATCAAAATTTCTGAGTGTCTCTTCTAACTGATGGTTATCTTGAAGGAAACGTAATGCAAGGCCGTGTGATGCCAGGAAATGAGCAGCAAGTCATTGGTGGTGGCAGTAACTATTCCCGCCCGCCGGGACTGGGCATGGTAAATCAGCAACCGATTGGATCACGACCAATGATGAACATGCCGGTGCACCACCATCATCACTTACAGAATGTGCGCCCGCCTTTCATCCCGTCGCAGCCGCCGCCATCGATCCCGCCTATGTCGTCGAAGCTGAATCCGAATGCACCGGATTTCTCTACCAAGATGCAGATGCCGCCGCACGCAATGCAAGTGTATCCGAATAACTCCGCCACTCGCCTTCACTACTCAAATCCGCACTTCACTTCACGCCCACCGCCGGATATGAGCCAGATGCGTCGCACTCCTCCTTACCCTGGAATGAGTGGTTTGGAACCACTTGACGGACGTATTGTGCGTCCTTTGGATGCTGCCAACAGGCCACCGCCGATAGGATCCGAGCGAGCCAAGCGCAACATGGGTGGTCCCATGACGCCGTCGCAGCAGAGCTATATTGGAGGACCCGAACACATGGGCGTGATGAACGAGAACGAACAGCGTGGCGGCGGATGGGGCACTATTGGAACAGGACCGCTTCGTAATAGCATGCCGACTCGTGATTTCCCGGATTGGCTTCAACACGCGTCCAACGGCGGCACGGGCCCAGTGACGCCCGAATTCGCCGAGAATATTTCGAGTTTGGAACAGTTATCCATCGCTAGCGTAAGCCCTTTTATAAGGAATCTTTATTATTTTTTCAAATCGAAGGTCTGGTACGCAATCTGATCTTAATTTAAATTATGCTTATTTTAACCTGATCATTACTGTTCATGCCGGGGTGACTTCATTCTTGCAGCAAAGTGGACGCACTGGCCCCGTGATTCAACGTGAGCATGGAAATGGAATGATGGGGTACGCCAACGGCGGCCTCATGTCGCTTAGCGGCAACAGCATTGGAGACCACCTGGTGAGCAACGGGAACGACATGATGGGGCATGGATACCCGCACGGACCGCCTCCGCAGCATCACCAACACCACCCCATATCCCAGCACATGTCACAGCACCTGTCGCAGCTGGGCCAGGAGAATTCTGTCCCCGCCCCACCACCCAACCTGGGCTTGGACAAGTCCACGGTGAGATCAGCTTTTATTCATTATGATGGATTTTTATCGAGGGAAATTAATACAGTATTTGTGACCATCAACCTCGGGGATGATCGTATGAAATCCGTGCAAGTTCCAATTACAGGTGAACTCTCTACAAGGAAATTCAGGGACCCAGGAAAAAAATATAATCGTGGAGAAAATTTCGTTAATAAAACCCTTATAACACGGGAAAAGATCCATATGGGAGCAACAAAAAATCTTTCTAGACCAGATCGTTGTTGAGAGAGTTCACCAGTATAATAAAATTATGTTCCTTCTTCCGATGATTTCGAGATAGAAAGAATTGGTCACGGTGACTCAAAATGAAAATTCAACTATTTCAGATGTGGGGCAACTGGAATTGAACGAAAAAGGAAATGGTGCCGCACCGAAATCGATTGTCATCAGGAGGAGAAAAAGTGAAGACGGAAGATGGATTTATGGAATTGACACGCTGTTCGGTGCTGGCCGCGACCCAAACGGTCAATGGAAAGAAATCTTGATTCTGTCTGGAAAGGGAGATACTTCGGCGCTGCTTTGATTTTGTCGGGCTCTGGCGAAGGGATGCTTTTGGTGTACAGATTAGCGAGCACAGGGCCCTCTGCTCTTCCTGCTGCTGTTGCTCCTTCCCTGCCGACCCGCTCAGGAAAGAGAAAGTGTTGTAAAATAAGGGTTCTTGATGAAGATTGGAAAAAAAATTTGAAGCTGGCTTCGTTAAGCCGCTTGTTGCTCTCCCCCGCTGTCCTCTTAGGATAGTCGCACTGCTGTCGCGCACCCCGTTTTCGTTGCTGTTTTCACGCAGGAGAGCGTGTTGCGTCCATCTGGCGGCTGTTGCCGTTCAGGGACCAGCATTGGTCGTAATTCTGACGCCCCCCACGTTCTCCGTTCCCGTCCCCTCGCTTGCTGCTCGTTGTTTGATTTTCTCTCCTCCTCGGACTCCTTGTCGGACGGGCTACTAGCGAGCATGCTATGTTTGAACTCTTGTTTGAAGAATTTTTTGTCGTGTGCGAGAACGTTGTCTTTTTTGTTTCCTCTCTGATGCTTGCGAAGAAATGTCTTGATCATGAAGGGCGAATCTATTCGGAAGGCGATTTGTTTCTTTTTTTTTTAAATCCAGAAAGGTTATAAATTTGCGGGCGTGGAACGAACGTTGGCTGAGTAAAGTTCTCAGAGATCATAGAATGTCGAGTTGAATTTTAACTGCATGGCTTGCATTCTTCGCGGCAGCGACCAAGCTTCCTAATCAGCCGTGTTTGTTTATTGCTTCTTGCAGGTTTCAAGATAAGAAGTGTGCGACACTTGGGTGTGGCGTGGGCGCTCACGTGGCGCGCCCCCGCGTGTTTTATGTGCGTGTAATTCTCTCCCTCTTCCTCTCTCACTGTGTGTTTTTGTGTGCGCGCTTGTTTGACTGTTTGCACTTTCTTGTCAGCGCAAGGTCTGCACGGATCCTTGTTTTCCTTCTGTAAATACTTCCAGAAAAATCAATTCACGATTATCTCTTGATTTTCTCATGCATGCATGACGAACGCCTACTGCGATCGTTCTTACCAAATCAGTTCATGATGTGTCACGAGTGGACAGTTCTTCATCTCGTTAATTCAGCTGTCATCTTGCATGCTTGAAACTCTCATCCGCGTTCATGTTCAATTTGACCTTAACACGTAAAAGGTATTTTTACTGAAATATTCTTGATTCGTTGAAAATGAAATTGTTTTCGATTTCATTATTAAGAAACTACAGTACAAGTGCACAACTTGAGAAAATCTTTCGTGAATTTGTATCCTTCTGTGTTTTGTTCATGATGCAGTTTCTAGCCTATTGGCATTGGCGTTTCGTTTATATGGTGATTCGTAATCCAAACGAAGACAAATATGTATTCCGGCGGCATTCTGCTCATTCGTTGCCTATTGTTCAAGTGGACCTTAATTTTCTAAATTTTCAATGGTTGAATGCCTAGTGAAGCTCCTTCCGTTCGGACGGGTGATCCATGCGGAGATACGGGCTTGCCTCCGGTAAAGAATTACGTGGGATCAAGTTTATAACGTCTTTTGTTGGGCATCATAGTTGCGGAAATTTCTTCGAGAACTTCTTTTTGCATGCTTCAGTTTCTGCTGAGTCAAGCGACCGCTTGCATCGCGATATCTGAGGCGCGGTTGGAATAACGTTTTACGATGCCATGAGCTTCATCGCCTGGAAAAAATGCGTTGAACAAAATATTAATTTTTCGGGATGAAGACAAAGTTTGGATTACGTTTTGCGAATTGATCCGTTTTAAAGTTCGCTTAATTTTCGAATGATTTTCTTTTATTGTTCTAACTCAGTTCGAGTACGGATTTCAGAGTACTGTATTTTCGTGGAATTTTCCAAGCGTTGAGTTGGAGTTGGATCTAGATTGAGTGACACAATCGCAAATTCGAATGTATATCTCGCCTCTGACAAAAATGTCACCTGGTCGTAGGACTCATGAAGCGACGTGTTAGCATCTGATTTTGCGAGTGACCGTTCAGCTCTTCGACTTGTATTGTCAATCGTCAAGCTGACGTAGAAAACCTCCTACGAAATCGAGCAAAAGTAATTATAGGTGACGGAATTATTTTGGGTCTCGATCCTAGATGGAATCTGAATACATTCTTTTAAATACAGTATGTGGTGTCCGGTACATCGAACGCCTGAATTAACGTTCGAGGGTGTCGAAAAGATTTTAAGATCTATTTTCCACCTGAAAAATTCGTATTATACTTCCCTCACTCGTGTGCTAAATTTAGATAGTATTTCTAGAGAATACTGTATGATACCAAGGGTTAGTATAATTCTTTCTGTTTAAAGTCGGACCGCTCTGATTCAAATTTGAAGGAACCAACGAAATAATTCGCCTTGACGAGGTTCTGACTTAGGGACACTAGCTCTGATGATGCTCTTAAGCTCTGACAAAATTTCAATTTAAAGAGGCCTGAATTGTAGTTGAGCATTCGACAGATTTCGTTCGTTCCCTCCGCCGGCGTATTGCTCACCGTACTGCTTCCCACTGGGCTGAGAGGCGATCTCGAGTTTGCTCAGGCGAGTGAGCGCCGAAAAGTACTGACAGCGCAATTAACGTCGTGTCTTGAAGTTTCCGTGAGAATCGATAGGGGAGAAGGAGGGCAAGATTAACTGTGCGATAAGCACCGAAACCTGATACCGGGACGATGAGTTCATCGGTGGAGGAGGAGGAAGAATCCGTCGGGTGTTTCCGTTCCCGAAAGCGCGGTCCTGCTCTTCCTCTCCAGAATGGTGCAGTCGTCGGTTCCCCCGCGATCCCTTCGATTAGCCCGGGAGTTCCTGGAGATAGCTGTTCCTGCTCTGGACCGTTCTCTCTGGTGTTTACGTTATTTTTCGAGAGCCTTGCAGTTCTCTTTCGTCGCAAGGAACCAGCTGTGACTCCTTTCCTAACGTGTTTTTAAATTGGGATTCAAACCTAAACCTATGTTGGGGTGGAAAAAATAACTGGCCGGAGAAGTGATCGTGGTTTGGAAAGGGATATTTTTGTTATGATTGTCCGGGTTGCTTTCTTCATCAGCACCCGAAAGCAAGTGCTTTGAATTTTACAGTTTGAAGGAGGCCGATTTTCTCTGTGCATGTACTATGCTACGAATTTGTTTGGGTCCCATAGTGGTTCTCTACCATGCCCATTCGGCTTCTCTTTCATGCATTTTGCAGTTCATGGCAGATTCGCAGTGTTTTGAGAGAGCGTCGGGCATATGAAAGATTTGAGTCTTATTCCAGGAATTCCTGTTACGCGAAAGCTTCACGATGTACAATGCTTTAAAATATTCTTTTTTCGTTTAGAATCAGGATACGAAAGTGTCCTGCCCGTTTTAGGAAATTCAGGTCAACCGAGTTTCTTTCAGCCAATTCCTAGAATTTTGCATTCTTCTGGGTTATGGCGTCTCATCGTGCACATCCATTGTGAATAACTTCCCTTTTTATCAGAATGCGAAAATCTGAGTTCTGATTCTCAGTGGATACTAAAATAATTCCGGAAGTCGGGACGCCGTTATCCGACATTGCGGCAGCTTTTCGCTTCAGCAAGATACAGTAATTGGAAGCCATTTAATGGTTCAGAAATTGATCGATGAGTTCTTCTTTGCAAGGTCAAGGAAAAGGCGTAAAAATAACTTTCTTGGGCTGCGTGCAAACCTACTGCGGTTCCTACGTCATGGAACTGCTTTGCAATATTCAGTTCATGCGGGCTGCGATGCATCGATTGATATGTAGTGAGCCTTCTGCTGCACGAGCAGTCATTTGAATCCCAATTTTTTTGATGAACGCTCATGATTCATTGTCATTATGCATGTGTCCTAATATTTTCTGAATGCTATTGCACATTTTGATGGGGGCTGAGATGATGAGGCGGAAACATTCGAGAGGTATATCCGTAAATTATTTATTCTAAATTAATGAAATGGTCTTTTTTCGCAAATAGGCCGCATTCAAACTAATATTCGTGTTTCTTGCGAGCTGTGTCTATTTTGCATGCTCATGCAAAATATACCCGTGGTACTTGAGTAAATTCGGATGAACATTTATCCCCAAGTAAGACACGCACCCCATGTTTAGAGACTGAAAATTGAAGTACTGTACAGTATTTTGAAAATAAAAATCAGCAAATTTTGAATTGATTTGAATTTCTGTCGGATTGAATGTTAATTTTTCATCCTTTCCTTATTGAATTGTCCGTGGAAGTTGGCTAAAACTTCCCTGTTGGTATCAAGTATGATGTGCACCAAAGCTTCAATTTGTTCATGTTATACCCACCTGTTTTTTCTCAATTTAAAAAAAGGTGCGAGTGTTACTTGAGTAAATACGGTATCTACACATTCCTTCATCTCTCGGTATTTTGAAAATATCGAAGCAATATATATGGAGAATACTGTATGTCTGAATAACGGCGAGGCTGCCGTGAAGCTCAGTGTAGTACGAGTATTTCAGTTAGACCTCGAACTCTGTCTGACTTGACCATGTGTTGAATATTGCTGCAAGCGATCTCGTGTGAACATTTGTCCGACCAAGTATTGAGCTTAATTTTTTCAGTTTTCGGTTAACTCGAAATGTGAATATTCTATCTTGAAGAAAGCTCGAGGTCTGGTCATGAGGGTCGGCGGTGGGGTCAATTGCTGACAAGTCGAGAGTGCAGCTAGGGCCAGCCGCGTGCGGGGGTGGCTGGGCCCCATGGAAAGTGCGGCGGGGCACGGTGATGCTGCTTTTCCGGAACTGGTTCGTGAAGCGCAGGTGGCCTGTATTGGTGCTGCGGGCTGCCGCCACGGACGCCCTGCGCCGACTTCGTCGCGATGTAGTGCAAATTGTCCACCGCCATTCGTCCTTGGCTGCTGCGCGGCAAGTCGTCTGCATTCTCCTTGCCGTCGCCATCGCTGTCCTGCTTGTCATAGGCTCGGACGACTCCACTGTAGGCGAGCAGATCAGAGTGGTTGGGTGAGTGACTCTTATTTTTCCTCGGGTAACTTGAAGCAGATTTTTCAATTCCGTAAAGTCGTGTTACAACAAACTCGCGGGGACTACAGAAAACGTTTTTGATGAATAATTTGTTATGATGAAGTTTTCAAATTAGACTGGGAACATTGTTTCAAATTAAACCTGCATATATGAATGATCTTCCCTTCCTGGTGAATGTTTTGAAAATTCGAACATGTTCATCATGACAGTTTTTTATACAGCACTGAAACAAGATTGCTTTAGCATGTACCCTATGAGCTTTCGGCCAGGACTTGAGAAAAATTTTGTTATACTGACAATTTTGTTTTCATGGTATTTGTTCTAGTGAGATTTATTGGATGTGTGAGGCAGAATTTTTTTTAGTTTCATCTCCAACGAACAGAGTGGCGTACAAACAACTTTTTTTCGACCGCCTGCATGAAAATAACGCAGTGCCATTGTTCTTTCAATGCGGGCGAATCAGTTATTTCCCTGAGTTATGATCTTATGAGCATATTACTGTACCCTGAATTTCACCTCTAACGAAGGTGGAGTAATCAGAAAGAAGGAATAATACAATCCTTGGGAAAATGGGATAAGATAGTTATGCGCTGGAGAAAACAATGGTTCCTCAGAATTAAAGAGATGGGCGGGGAAAAGGCTTATCGGTTCGGAATCTTCCCGAAAGGAATTACTTTTTCTCCAATGTCTGAAGAATGCACAATAAGCGAGCGAATCACAGTTCGCTTTGTACAGAACAGGCGCACACAAATTTTCCTCCCTTTTTTCACATTGTTCCACCTTTCTTTACATTGTTGCACCTTTCTTTGGCCCAAATTTTCTGATTATGCTTCAATGACGGGTTCCCCGAAATATTTGAATGTACTCTGCTGTAGTCCCCTTTTGAATTCTCAGTATTTCACACGAGTACCGCTACGTATCAGCAAAATTTTATCGGTGATCACGTGTGAGCTTTACTTATGGTTTCTTGTAATTTGCGCTTTGTGGAAACTTGAGATTTCCGGTAGTCCAGTAAAAAAGGCCTCCTATTTGCTGAAGCCCTTGAATAAGAAGCGCTTGAAGTTCAACAAATGGTTTAAATTGAGTGTCACATTTCGTTGCCATCTCTGTCGAAACTTCGTTGGAAATTTTCTTCATTTATTTTTTCGTTAGGGGAAACCGGCCTACAGTACGTGACACATGTGAAATATCCAGGGAGGCATCTGGTGCTGCCGCAGCCCTCGTGCCTCTCGCCTTGACGGGTGATGAAACGCCGGTGAGCCCTACATCGCATCAGACTGCAGCGCGATTGCGTTTGGATCCACGTGCTCTTCTCTTCGTTGATTCTCCGTATTCACGAACCGGCAGGGACATTGCAATGTGGCTCGTCGCGAATCGCATCAGGTTCGTCTTATCACTATTCGACGTTTAAAAAGTCCACTGGTCCGTGGATTTCGCGTGGAAAGATCTACATTCTGCAGCATTATTTTTCAGCAAATTTCCGTGTGGGACTTGGAGAGGGATAAGCAAATGTTTGGGGTCGCATCTTTCCAGCGATCGGAATTCCATTGAACATCTCAGTTTCACTGTATTTACGGTACTTTCATTTGTTGATTCGATTATTCAAGAGTGTAGAAAAATATTATTTTAGTCGAAAAAAATTGAGGATGGTTGAGGAGGGATTTTTGACCGGGATGCAATTGTTTGTCACGACACGGACTTGAGAAAATTGCCCTGATTAAATACTTGACGGTATACCGCGAACTTTTTTTCTGACTTTGCGCAAGTCCCACGTATAAATTTTCTGAAAATTAATCGGGTACACAATATTTTCTTGATCTGTACCGCGAGAAGATGGAACACCTGAAATGTATTGTCAATTATAATAGGTACAAAACGGAAGTCTTGGGGAAATCTTTACCGGTGTTGACTTACGAAGACAAGGGGAAATTCGGCGTGGTGATTTTCGAGAACGTGATGCGCTACCTCAACATGGATTCGTGGCATCGAAGTATCTTGGACAGATATATGATTGAGTACCATGTAGGCATGATCGGTTTTATGCCTACCGCGCAAGAAGAGATTGGTCCTTCCTTTCGCTTCGAAAAACTGGGACATTTTCCTCTTCTCTTTCAGCCCCGTCTGCGAATTTCGGTGAGCGAGCTGTGTCATTAGATCTCATTCGAAATGGTTTCGTTTTCATATTCACAAAATTGGAAATCGATTTTATTATAAGTTCACTATTGTTCATAATCCGAAACAGAATTTTGTGCTACTTTTTTCAGAGTTATTTCTATCGTATGTGCACAGTATAGGAAGACTTGTGCTTGTTCTTCGCTTTTTGGGCTCCTTTTCATGCCAAGAGATCAGATTTCCTGTGGTTTCATTCTGCACAGTTCGTGTATGTACAGTATTTGTGGGCCCCACTGAGTAGAGTGTTAAGATATTTAAGGAAGTAATTTCAGATGCAGTTTATTTTTATTTTTTAATCTTCGCGTCTGACAGGTGGAATCAGATAATGAAACCAGGGAAATTTGAATGAAAAAGTGTGAACACAGCTTTTTCAGGAAGCGAAGCCCTTCGAAATTATTGCACAGTTGATGTTTTTAGGAAGTGCAACTCAATGCGGAATCGGAAGTTCTACGGCTAACACGAGCAGGGGGACGTGTTCTGGGGGATGAGGCAGACGGCTGGGGTGGCCCCTGGTTTGCGTTTTGGCCGAATCACACTTCGTATGTCCCAATAGAGATGGCTGTGTCTGCGGAACATACTGCGGGAGACGATGACTGTATACCGCCAACACAGCAATCCAGATTATTTACCCGTGTCATGCACAGCAATTCCACGATGTGCAAATTTGCTACAGTTGTCCAGGTTGAGAATTTTTTTCGCCTATGTACCTCCCGGGGCGTTGACGAGTTCATATTTCTATGCAAAACTTTTTTCAGGATCGTTGTCAAGTTGATGGGATTGACCGGGTTTTGTTCGGGGCACCGCTGAATTTTTGGCTTCATCGGCTGATATTCCTTGATGCATTGTCTTTCTTGTCACGTGGGCGGCTTTCGGTGCCATTGATGCGCTACATTCAGCTTGACATTGACGACATCTTCGTCGGAAAGCAGGGCATTCGTTTAACACGAGACGATGTGATCGTGAGTCTTGAGTTGAATGAAGATCTTCATTCAACGTAAACTTTGGTGTCATGCTGTTTATCTTCAGGAGTTGTTAGCTGCTCAGGACAGACTGAAAAGGGTGATTGACGGGTTTCGTTACAATCTGGGTTTCTCGGGCCATTACTTCCATCATGGGTCGAGGGCTGAGGACGAAGGTGACGACATGTTAATAGGTAAGTTCCAGTTGAATTTAATAATTAGCCAGGATTACTTCATCCTTCTGAATCCCATCTCTCCAGCCAACGCCCATGAGTTCTGGTGGTTCCCGCACATGTGGAATCATCAGCAGCCTCATAATGTATCCAACATCACCCAATTAACCGAGCTGATGAGGATGAATCAGGATTTTTCAAAGGTGCGTCATGGCTTGAAAGATGCGTTGCATAATTCAGCTATAATTTTTTGAAATATTTCTTATTTTCCTCTGATCGAGAATGGCGTTTCCTATTGAACGTCTTCGGTGTTTCTGCAGGTACATCAGCTGCCTGTTGAAAATTTTTACTCAGTGGCACCGCATCATTCCGGTGTTTATCCAGTTCATGAAGAGCTTTACTCCATATGGAAGGAGGTCTGGGACATCAAGGTGACCGCAACTGAAGAATACCCTCACTTGAAGCCCCCTCGACTCCGTCGTGGATTTGTGTATCGTGGAATCCAAGTTTTACCGCGGCAAACATGCGGTCTCTATACGACGAACCTGTTTTATGACAGCTATCCTGGCGGAAAGGCCCGATTAGACAATATGATTCGTGGCGGAGAACTTTTCCAAACGATCGTGGCGAACCAGGTTGGTGATGTTATCAATCATGACCTACGTCCATCAAGCATTTTTTCCTTGCTTTTTTTAGTATCGAAGACTTTTCTGTTGCATATTTGATAAGCTCCGTGAATTTAATTTGAAATTCCGGGGTCTTACATGTGTTCCAAAATGAAGCTTCCGAAGGTTCTCACGCTTGACCATTTATTAAAGTGGCAGTTGGTTAAATTTGTATTGTGGCTGGATGGGAATCCTGTTTTAAATCGCGAATTTGGTTTTGAAACTAAATTTCATGGGCCGCATTATTTAATTAATTTTTCATGTTTTCTGACGTTTCGATAATTTAGCAATGCTCGAACTCTTGTTGCCAGATATTTCGAAGTACTGTATAATGTTGGAATGTACCATTGTTCAGAACGAAAAATTGTCATTTATATATGGTATTGGTTCGTTTGGTGACTTTGTAGTTTTCGGTGTTCATGACGCATATGTCGAATTATGGCAATGATCGGCTGGCGCTGTACACATTCGAAAGTGTGTTCAAGTTTCTGCGGTGCTGGACAAATTTGGAGTTCCGCACCGTGCCTCCGGTTGAGCTAGCGAATCGCTATTTCCGTACTCATCCTGACGAGCGAGATCCGGTTTGGGAGGTGAGTTTTTAATTTCAGCCCTGTCTCTTCATGACGATATATTCGGTTAAATCTCTGCCACATGCATGACCCGGCGGTATTTTCCTAGTTCTGAACGAGCTCAGATTTTTTTAGTTTCAATTGTCCCGAAGTCGATTTGTCCGTATGTCGGGGCCCGTCATACGGACATAAAGTTGAATTCTTGTTGGTATTCGGGCAATCGTATCTTGTGATTCTGATTAAAATTATCCAAATTTATTCTTCTTCATCTTTATTTATAGTCTCCGTGCCATGACAAGAGACATCGGGAAATTTGGTCTCCCCTGAAAACTTGTTCCCGTCTTCCGAATCTACTGGTACTTGGTCCTCAAAAGACGGGCACAACTGCGCTATACGCGTTCCTTTCGATGCATCCATCTGTTCAGAGCAACCGACAATCCCCCGATACTTTCGAAGAGACGCAGTTTTTCAGTGGGCGGAATTACCTCAGAGGGCTGGACTGGTATATGAGCTTTTTTCCCGAAGAAGCTGATTACCTTTTTGAGAAAAGCGCCAACTATTTCGACGGAGATGTGGTCCCTAAAAGAGCCCATGCGTTGGTCCCAAAGGCGGATTTGGTCGCTATTCTGATTTCCCCTGCGAAGAGAGCCTATTCATGGTATCAACACCAGCGGGCGCACAACGAGCCAGCAGCGATGAAGTACTCCTTTTATGAGGCAAGGAATAATTGATTATACCGTTGATATATTCGACACACCGTCAATTTCGGAAGCTTTTCGAGTGGATGCCGGCCTTGATCAAAGCTGTCTTACATTTTGTTCTGTTTCACGCACAGATTGTGACGGCAAAAGAAGCCGCGGTGGGCGACAAAGCGTTACGAGATTTGCGTAATCGCTGCTTGTACCCGGGTCTCTATGCTCATCACTTGGAGCGATGGCTCCAACATTTTCCGCCGCAGCAGTTGCATATAGTTGATGGCGAAGCCTTGAAGCTTAACCCAGTCGTCGTCATGAATTCCCTGCAAAAGGAACTCAATATTACACCTTTCTTTGACTACGCCAATCATCTTAGGTATTCGAAAATGAGATTGCATGTGATGTTTATTGGCAGCTGAAACGTTCGCGAAATTTTCTCACCCGTAGCTTTGACTCAAGGAAGGGATTCTTTTGTAAAGTGGATGGTGAAAAACGGACTCGTTGCTTGGGAAAAAGCAAGGGCCGCAAATATCCACCGATGGATGAACACTCGGCAGCGTTTCTCAAGGTGAAGACCAAAAATATCAGCATGTCGAACTTCGAAATTTCTTTCGTGTGTTGAACTCAATCAGTTCTCACTAAAAAGAGGGATAATATCGCAACCAATTTAAAAATTGGCATTTGTTCACGTCTTCTTCGTTTTTAATTATTTTTGGAAATATTACCCTCCGTTTCTGTAGCGGTATTACATGTCTGGCAACGTGGCGTTGGAGAAGCTGCTGAAGCGTTTGGGATACGCTATACCAGCTTGGTTGAAGGAAGATCTAGCTGAATTGCCTACGCAGAATGAGTCTTTTAGGGGAGCATCCCCGGATGGTTGATGCTCTTCTCTCATTTGACTCGTCTTCCACGCTATGCTGTGCTGTTCCTCTTGCTGTGATAGCTGACCAATCCCTGAACCTTCTTGTCGGTATGATTTGGAATTTAGAAAACTTCGGTTGGCTGACATTTTCCGAAGAGTTGTTTCAGTTTTTGAAACAATGAAATTTGACGTGAGCTCGTTAATTGATCGTCATGTTTCGTCGTATTGCAGGAGGTATGAATATGAAATGGGGAATGTGCGGCCGCTGAAAACAAGGACACTTCACCAAATGATTTTTACGCGAATTTTGGTGTGGAGAATCAAAACAAAGAGTGGCATCTAGAGCCTAATTGCTGTTCCATGGAAACAATGCAGCTCTCCCAATGGTCAGCCATCTTCTAGTCGATTCATCCCTGTGGAATTGGGCTTCAGTTGTCACGGATGCCATAAATACTACCGCTAGGGTGGTTGTGTTTGCATTTCAGTTTTTGCATTGTGTTCATTTGGTCGCCTTGATAATTTTTTTATATTTATTTCGTCATTATTTTGCTCAAAAATAGTGATAATGTGGAGACACATTGTCAGAACTGGTAGCTGAGGGATTGGGAATTGTGAGATGTCCGAATGACTTGTAGAAGACAATCAACGAGTTGAGTTAGCAGGTGTTTCCAGTGTGTTGCTCATGTCTGCAGAGAGTTATTTTGTTTGTGCAGCTTGTAGAGACATTGAATCATTTAATGCTGTGGTGGCTGAAATGCCAATGCATTGGAAAAGTGAGATGACGTTTTTATGTAGAAATACTGTATGTTTGCGGAGGGATGGCTGCACAGAGAACTATACGTATGACTGCCTTGTTCTGTAAAATTTGAGTAGTAATTGTAGCAAATGGGAGGACAAGCTTGGGTATTCTTTTCAAATTCGGAATATCCTAACTCTTACGATCGGTAAACTGGGCGTTGGGGAAGCCACACCCACACGTTGACGATCTCGCAACAACAGCAAAAGTGCATCGGAGAGAAAAATTCGATTCTGTAATCTTTGCGTCACAGCTACTCTCTTTTGAAATTTCTTTGCAACTAAAATGCTGTCTACATTTTTACCTGTAAAAATTGCTTATATTGCGGAAGTTCAGTTGTTGCCTTTTTTCCTTCTCTGCAGTAACGTGTAAATGTAATGATTTTTCGTTGTAAGGTATAAACGTGAATAGGTATGCACTCCCGTTTTTAGACAAATCTTCCGCATTCCCACTTCACTTCCGAAACGTACATATTTTGGTTCGTGTGCATAGCATTCAAGAGGGAGTTTGTGGCTTCCTTATGCGCCTCAGTCTTACTCAGCAATTCCAAACTGGAAAAAGACGGAGGTATGAAGTCTTGAGCAGCTTTTAGGAGTTCAGGAAATATAATTTGGAATTATATGATATTGCGATTCAATTGAATTTATGGACTTGCAAAATTCATGTTCAATGATTGTTACGAAGTGTGTGTCTTCAAATTTCTCTGCATAATTCAAGTCAGAAAAAAATGGAAAGGAAACATCTGTGCTTCGTTCATCCAGAAGAGAAGTTCGTCTCGATTTCTACAGCTAAACTGATCAAAGTACTTCAGCTGTTGATGGGTGAAGTTCAATATTTTGTTTTTACTGCCATGAGACACCTTAAGTTCCCTTATTTGCTAAGGGGGAAGTTCGTTCGAAAAATTGCCTAATTGCGCCATACACTCTTCCATCAGAGTTTGTCATGGTATCTGCTGCTCAGTTTGAGCGTCCAAGATCAGAGCATTTGAGGTATGACTCCTCGTCATCGCAGAGATTGTGCTAAATTTTTGCGCCAGTGATTTCTTCTACCATTTCACTCCTTACCAATTCCAGGTCAGTGCTTATTGCTCGCTTTTCGGGAATGCTTTCATCCTGTTTCGTACATGATTTTATAGCAAGATTTGGTGTGCTGCAGTCTCTTAACCCTACCGACTTCATTCAACTCACAGCTTGATTTCTGAATAAGTACTAAGTGATTTCTAAATAATAAATACCGTTGCACCAGAAAACCCACCGTTTGATGAATGAAATTTCTGAAGGCGAACGAATTGTATGAGTGAAGAAGCACCCACCGAATATCTCACTATATTCTTGCCATGAGAAGTAAGGGTTTGTTCCTGAGATCCAGAAAAAGGGGTTTTTCGTATTCATAGTTTTCTCCTCAACCATTTTAATATTTTTTATGGTATGCATTTTAGACCTCTATAATCCTTGATTAACTTTTAATTCACTTTTACCAAGATGGATCTAAATGGAGCATCGCTGCTGACGACATTTTTCTGTTGGAGATGCGTCCAGGCCAGAAACTCGACTCGGAAAATGGGGGAAAAAATAATTTGTCTTAGGTTAATTGGCTCCAGGTGCACGAATAAAAACTTTTTTCATCATGAAGATCTTCTTTGATCCGATTATCTGCCTCCTGGATCTAATCCACTTACAGTGAAGGGCTAAGATGATGTTGTGTGATTTCGAATATACGGTACTGATCCCAGTGACTTATTGATGAGCCGATTTTTTTCGCAAGAGAGAGCCGATGGTTTTTTGCTCATTGGCTCTAATCCAGTTTTTATCTGGTTGGATTTATTCCGTTTCCCTCCTATCTGAGCAATGAGAGTGCTGTAGAAAGTGTGCCTTGATTTATTGTCCCGTTTTGTGTGCACGTAATTATTTTTCTTGGCAAACTGGAAAGTCACGGCGGAATTGGTTTTTGATTATTTCCTATTTTAAACGCATGTTTTCTTTTGTGTAACCCTGGTACAGTACTTAGATTGATGGATTTTCGCTTTTGCTGATTGACCTCAGCGACTTAAAATATTTATTTCTCTTACCGTCGTGATAGTATCTTCTTATTCACAGCTTCATTTTGGAATTACCGTATTTAAGAAGCGTTCGGCTTACTTGCTTTGTGGTGTTTTTTTTAAGGTCCATAGCAATTGACATTTCATTTTTTAGAGGTCTATGATGACGCTTACCTTTCATGATTTTTAGTAGGTCAGTAGTAGTGGATGAGCACTTCAAAAACTAAGAATTGGACCATGAAGATGACTTGCACTTCGTCGCTGATAAAGCAAGAACTGAGAAAAATACGAATGCTGATCATTTAGTAAATAGAAATTTTTTTTACAGGGAAAGATAGTTTTTTGAATTTCCTCGCTCTATACACTTCGCCTTCTTTCGTACATGATGCATTCGAAATGGGGATGTTTTCACTTTTCTTGGGAAGCTAGCACAAGAAGATGTTGGAGAGAATGGTCTTTTTATTCCATCCGGAGCCGAAGTAATTTAATCGGTATTTTCACGTGAATTGAGTTTTCTTTGAAATCAAGGTTTTTTCGCGCACTTGTTTGTCGCCTTTGGCGGCTGTGCACAGTGAAGCACCGCAATGGCAAATTGTCCCAACTGCGGCAAGCCAGTCTACTTCGGTGAGTGATTTTGGTGGATTCCGAGAGCGTTTCTTACGCATGGACAAGTTTCGTTTTTGTGACGTGAAATCATTTCAGCCGAAAGGAAAACGTCGCTGGGCAAAGATTGGCATATTTTTTGCCTCAAGTGTGCCAACTGCAAGAAGACCCTGAACTCGGGGCAGCACGCAGAGCATGACGGCAAGCCATATTGTCACCATCCGTGCTACGGGGCCCTCTTTGGCCCTGGAGGTCAGTCCTGATGGGTACCCGATGAATGTTTCTCCATGCGTTTTTTCTTTGTGTAATCTTCAATTCTCAGTATTCTTTCAAATGTAACAATGTCATTGAAACTGCTTTTCATCCGAAACCGAAAATGATAGCTATTCTTTTCTGAAATGAGCGCTGCAATTCTCGGTCTGCTGTTGACTTCTAGACCCGAGATTGTTCAAAATTCTAAGAAAATTCTTCTATGAAGGCTACGGACGTGGGGGCACGGAAAGCCACGTTTTCGCCAAAAAGGAAGACGGAATGGCAGAAAACTAACGCGTAGGCAGCAACAGGGATCGCGGTTGACTCCGACCGCCGAGAAATGACCGACCCACTCAGTCTCGGAATGAAGACCCCTTTTTTATTTTCGCTAGCATTCGCCCACGCTAGTTCCTGAGCTTCTGTCATAGGCGAGTGCCCTGTTGGCTGCAGTGTGGATGTTTGTACAAGGAGACCCTTCTTCGTTGTACCCACGAATGTGAGATTCCGTGCGACATTCTGGCCTGAACTCGGCCAAATTCCAGAAACTTTAAAGCGCGACAATGCGGAAGCAGCTTCTTATGGTTGTGCGAATCCAACGATGATCTTTTTTGAAATTTAATCTTTTGTTCATGACAAAAGGACTTCGGATAGCTTTATGAACTCGATTTCGTCTTACTGTACTGGACTGTCCTGTTTTCTAATGAGATGCGTGATTCTTGGGGGGCGGACGTATTGTTAGTTATTTTCTTCATTCGGTGAAATGAGCGAGAGAGGCATTCCGCGCATGAAGTCGTTTCCTTCTCGCGGCACCTCGTTGAACTCCCGTTCTATTTTATTTATTTATTTTTAATTTAAAAGTTGTTGCCTTGTTTCGATGAGGTTTGATCTACGTCTAGTTTTTCAAATTGTGAGATTCCGTTGTGGTTAAGTCGAGAGGTCGAAAAAAATATGGTTGTATACAAGGTATCCAAATCTTGCGCCGCAGCCTGGCCATGTTGCCGGCCCGAGCGCCTTCTTCGACTTCGCTATTAAATTTCGTTTCTTTTTCGTTGCGATATCTTTCGTATCCCCGTTTCATTTTTCATCGAATTTGTCAAGCATTCCGATGATTTTGGCGCTGCCTGAATGAACTAGTGCTGCGAATGCCCTAATTCTAGAGAGAAAAAAAACGTGACGTTATGAATTAAAAATGACGTATTGAACGCAAGCTGTGGATTTTTTCCCGCAATTCATTTTCTGAGTACTGTACTTATACAGTATTGTAGAGCAGTGCTCTCCAACCATTTTGGTCCCGCGGACCAGCAATTTTTCATAAAATATTTTTGTGGACTGGCAAATTTCCTAACAATTTTCTGTAGACCAGCAAAGTTTCATGAGATTTTCTGAGGGCCAGATAATTTTAATAAAATGTTCGCATGCTCAAAAAAGTTTAGCTTGGAAGACGGCGTGAATCGCAGGTACAGTCAACCCCCAGTAAGACGCCGCCATTTGTCCAGACTCCAGAGCAATTTTGGCAATTTAAAGAGGTTGAAGGTTTATCAAATATTTAATTTTAATTATTTGATCAAAAATACTCAATTTTCCTCCAAAAGTCATAGAGATACAGGTTATGTATAGAAACTTCAGTATTTTTCCAAGGAGTATTGCTGTGATCAATGGATTACTCTTTCAGAAAATAAATTTTGCTGCATCAAATTATTCAAATTTTAAGATTAGGTCAATAATTTTTCAAAATTTTCAGCATTATTAAATTTTTCTTACAAATACAAGATCCTTGGCAGAAATTATAATTCTACCCCAATGTTGGCATTGTAACAAAGACAAAACTAATTGGAAACAGCACTTTTGTTTCATCAATAATGTTGGCAGTTGGCGTCTTATCAAGGTTTTCTATAGAATTTAACATTGACGAGATTTGTTTCATTCAAAATGTTGGTGGTTGCCAAGGGTGGCGTTTTATTGGGGGGCATCTTAACGGGGTTTGACTATTTGAAAAAATTTTGGTAAAACTTGAGTTAAGAACAAAGTAACTATAGTGGAATGTGTATGTTACAAGGGGACTTACCTGTACCAGCAGTTTTTTTTTAAATAATTGCAGTGGAATACCCTACAAATATTGTTAATACGATTGTTTTGGTCTAATGAATTTTTTTTCTAGGTCCCAGCAGTTGACAATATTATAGAATTTTTTCTTGGTAACAAACTATTTTTTCTCTATAATCTCAGTAGATAATGAATTTTTGCCTGTGAGCTGTGTGCATAGGCCATGTAAATTTATGAACTAATTAGCATCAATACTGATCCATTTCAGGGAACATGCTATTCTTGGTTAATATTGTAAATGCCCTTATCACCCAAGGTGCAATATTTTCTGTTTGGTTCAGCTCATTCTGCAGTAAGCTCAGTGCAGTACTGTTTATATTTTTAAAGAAAATTTGACAAAGTTTTAAATGAAAAATAAAATTATGATTTGAATTTGCCCAGGTGTGGCTGGGCGCCCTCAAGCTTGTTATTGTGTTAAACATCGACGTGAGTTTCGCCAGTGGCCACAAAAATCGATGATAAAAATGAGGGAAAAATACTCTAATTTTCCTACATGCGGGTACAGTATTCAGCAGCATAATATCGCGGCACTTGCGCACCGGATAACCTGTGTAGGAAGCAGAAGCGAATATACGAAGTGTGCGCAGACGGAATGAGGTCGGCGGGTTATGTTTATGCGCGCACCAGAGTGCCTGTATGGTGTCGGGTGTCGATCCTGGTTCTGGAGGCGGTTGCTGCGCCTCGCTGAAGAGTTCCGCCCCTCATCCGTGGCGCCTCAGTTCAGGACTCGGATTCAGGCTGTCACACGCCTTCTTCTCCAGCCCGCTTAAAAAAAAAAAGAATTAACTCCTCTCTGGTTTAGCGCGAAAAGGAAGTCTTGCTCACTCATCGGAGATGAAACGAGATTCTATGACAGACAACGTTGTAAATTGAGAAAATGAACTGGCAACATTATTGAGCAAATAAAATGAATACAAGAACAACGCGACAAAAATTAAGAGCACGCAATAACTAAATCCATGAATCACATGCAAGAAAAAACGAAAAAGAAAGACTCCATGATAAATCGGGAGGTAAGTCTCGTATAACGAGTTAACGACTGCTTTGTTTCCTCTCAAAAATCGTAATACAATACAGTACTGGTATTTGACAACTTTTTTTATTCATAGACCTTGCTTGGATAATTGAAGTTCTCTACCATATTAAATATTTTTCTTTCTGAAGTTGTCCAGGAAAAAATCACAAGACGATGGTGCAGGTTTACTCTCAACGACGGTTTTGTCTCCTACGATTTTATCTGCATGTACAGTACTGTACATTATTATAACACATTTTTTGGTCCAATATACAGTAGAGGGATGAGAATCCTACTGAGTATGCATGTTATATTGTGTATAGGATAATTCTCTACAAGGATTTTTTCTGGCCCATTGAATTTTCTTAAGAAAAAAAGTCTACCTGTCTCACCATACCTACACTGGTGCACCCGACAACCTTTTTTTCAAGAAACAAAATTGGGATAAAAAACTGTGGTGCGCATCCCATTGAGGTGGTACAGACACTTTACGATGATCTTGTCTACAACGATTTTCTACACACCTGTAGAGTATAACGATTTTTTGTCCCATACGATTTTCTTCCCATGCTATAGGGATTCTCTGCAACAAAATTCTCTCCATAACGAATTTTTCTATAGTCCCTTGAATTTCGTTGCTGGGAGACTTCACTTGCACCAATTTTCCAGAATTCTTGCGCACAATTTTCCTTTACTTCTCCATCCCGGCGCCTCCCTGATTTGAGACGCGCCCTTTCCTGACCCTTCACCCTCCAGCTATTCTGCTCCTCCCCTTCCCCTCCCAGGTCTCTCTCTCCAAATCGATCAGGAGGGTGCAAGGTGGCCCTGCGCGCGCCCTCAGCGCCAGTCAGCTGATGCCAGCCTTCCTTCCATGCCACCGCGGGGCTGATAACACCCGCCACGACCTTGCTGCCAATGCCTGAGCTCTCGAGAATGCTGGAGGTGCGAAGTGCAGGGAGCCTCGGGGCTGAGTCGCGTCGCCACCGGCTGTCTGGTACATGTGGTTTTTTCCTTTCTCTCATGGCGAAGAGAAGCCCCTTGTGTTGGAGATGAGAGTACCAGCACAATCTTTGGGTGCAGTGATGTCTGATGATGAAGGAGTTCCGACGTGATATGGAGCGTGTGTTACAGTCGGCGGGCTACTCATTTGTTGTGACAGGAGCTCTCTTAGTGACACGGTGTCATCCAAGTCGCGGCTCATGGATGAAATGTTTTTGTCCGATTTTTTTCCGTGGGATTATCATTTGCTTGAGGCGTGAAGTACAATAATTTGGATTTTAGAATACATGAGAGGAACATGCTGATGTCTGGGTGAATTGTGAGGGATCATTATGGAAGAGGGTTTTCCGGTCTTGAAATGTTCATTTCTGACTAGTGTATTATAGTTCTTCCTGTGTAGTTGATCGAAGAAGGTTTTGCCATTCTCATCAAGGGTATCGCGGGGGTTTCTTCAATTTTCATGAATATACGTTGGAAAACACAAATGAACAGATCATTTTACTCTTGACATTCAGGAATCACTGAGACGAATGTATTTCTGCGTGGGGTACCTGTAGAGTGCAGCGGTTTGCTTTTTTTTCCTATTATTGCTCCAATTCATTCCGCGATATTTTATTTCCCCAGATGAAAACAAATCAAATAATGCTAATTTCATGAATTACCCATTCAGATGTTATTGGTATGATAGATTTTTGTGCGATGAGAAAATTTTCTTTCAAACACTTTATATACACTCCGATAACTTATCCTTCGGTGCTTGTACGTCAGCAACCCTGCTTGAGGGTCCGAGACGGGAGCCTGGAAGAGAGAACCCTTCATCACCAGCGTGCTTCAGGTTGATGCGGGTGCAGTAACAGTCATGGCTAGGGGTTGGTGTCAAAGGAGAATACGACATGTCATGCGAGGAAATTATGCGGGACAAAATGTTGGTACTGTACTCAACCTGGGAATAACTGATACAAATTAAAACTTGAAAAAAAGGTATCGGCGATTTTAAAAAATCGGTGAATGGAAAAATATGCTTTTCTGAAAATATTTTGATGAAGTCGACTGTGTGTGGTGGTCGACGGATTCCCTGATTTTTAACTTTCTTATATTTTTCTATCATTTTTACCATGATGTACTGAATGAGATATCATGATCTCCCGATCAATGATGAGAATGAAGTTGATTAAATAATAAGTAGAATAATTGAATGAAGCTCATGTTTTAGCCCAATATCAGTTAGGGAAAGGTAAAGTTTCTTCCGTGACATATTTTTCCTCTATGCAGTCTATGGGAATTTCTCACGTTGTCCAAAAATTGTAAACGTCACCCAATTCTCTGCAAATAATTCTGTTTTTCAGAGATCATTCAGTTTATTTCAAAGAAAAACAAAGATTTCTCCGACCCCGCGTAATTCCCTAAAGTTTAATTGGCATGAACTCAAAAACATTTCGATTTCCCTTTTGGTTTCGAAAGATAAAAGTCTTCTTGATGTAAGTTATTTACCGATTTTATTTACCAAGCTAAAATCAAGAGACTCCGTTACACTACTCTATATTCCGATAATCAATCTGTTTTATTGTCATTTCTATTTGTCATTATTCCATCTATTCCAATTGGTTCACAATTTTCTTATACCTGTACAGTACTGTAGATATATAGATTAATTGTCGTACTCGTGGATAAGCCTGCATCTCGTATTACTGTACTGTATTTTTCGGCGAACTGATTTCGTTTCACGAAAAACCGTTCGCTTTTATGATGCTAAAGGAATTCAATCATATGAGTCTATATGGGTTTATTTTAATACTGCATGTGTTCGATACTCAGGGCATAGAAAAACTTCGATGTTCTCCGGCGAAAGAATAACAACTTATTTCTGACATATGTACTACAGTATTCAAATTGTGCTATATGTAGAAAAGGAAGGAAACAAATTACAGCACTTGTATTCGGGAGCTTTTTCGAAAATGTCATGTTACCGTTTTGTAAGATTTTTAGGCTCCGGAACTTTTACATTTATTGGATAAGAGAAGAAAAATGATGGCTAATCAAGTAATCAGCTCAAATTTTTCTTATACAGTTATCGTTTTGCCATTACGCGCTTTTTTATAAAAATTGTCGACGGCAAATATTATTTTTAGGGCGTTTCAAATTGCTCAAAATGCATAATTTTTGTCGATTAAACAACGAAAACCATTTACTAACATAGCAAGCACAGAAACTGGATAAAAACGCGGGCCTTGAAGAAAACATCGAGAAAATATTTTCATACGTTTTTTTTTTCGAATGTAGCACGAAATTCAAGCTTTTATTCCCGAATGTACTGTACTGTACTTCGTGAATCTGGGAACCGCCGAGGAAGTTCATTTTGAAAAATCTCTCCCGAACTGTAAATTTCTGCGCTGCGCTGAAATGCGTGAAACGAAATGGCTAAAAAAAACAGTCAATTTTCGCGGGAGCATGAAATCCATTTGGAATGGAATGTGCGTGAACTTTGGAGGCCAAGAACAATTGCGAACGGGATTTCGATTAAAAATAAATTTAGCCTTCATGAAGCACAGGCGTAAAAAATGCACCACACGGGATCATTTCGAGTTTCAAATTGTGCTACGTATCGCAAGATTTTCTTTCGTGAAAAAAAGTTTATTGATGGCTTGCGTCAGGTTTTTTTTTGTTTTTTTGTTACCTACGGGAACTATAGTTGTATTGGAAGGAAACAGAGGCGGAATGCCAATTTTTATCAATTGATTCAGAAATTAAACTGCGGAGTCTTACGTTGAAGTAGATTTCATTTGGAAAAATGTTTTCCTCGCCTCGAAGGAAAAAACAACCCTGCAGCAGCACTCGTTATTTTCTTAAGCGCATGCCGACATAGTTTAATCGAGTTTCTTATTTACATATCGAGTCTTCTTTCGAATCAAGGTTTTTTCGCGCACCTCTTCGTCGCCTTTGGCGGCTGTGCACAGTGAAGCACCGCAATGCCAAATTGTCCCAACTGCGGCAAGCCTGTCTACTTCGGTGAGTGGTTTCGGTAAATTCCAGAAGCGTTTCTTGCGCCAAAAAAATGAAACGAGTTTCGTGCAGTTTGTGACGTGAAATCATTTCAGCCGAGCGGAAAACGTCGCTTGGCAAAGATTGGCATGTTTTCTGCCTCAAGTGTGCGAATTGCAAGAAGACCTTGAACCCGGGGCAGCACGCAGAGCATGACGGCAAGCCGTATTGTCATCACCCGTGCTACGGGGCCCTCTTTGGCCCAGGAGGTCAGTCTTAATTGATGCCCAATGCCTATTTCTCTGTGTGTATTTTCTATGAGTAATCTTCAATGCTCGGTATCCTCTCAAATGTAGTAATAGCATTGAAACCGCTATTCATCCGATTCAGACTTTTGATGATTTTTGTATTGAGACTTATGCTTTTTAATGAATGAATGAATGAACAGAACACTTTGTTTGTCGCTTCTCAGCGTTCACAAGGTTCAATCAATAGTTCCACAACCACACCCCCTTCCCACCCAACCCAAATGCACTCAATGACAATTAATCACTCCAGAGCAGGAAAGCACAAATTGATAACAAAAATAAAAGAAAATACATTGCAACATGAAGTACAACTGGACATCTGACATGTATGCATACACCCATTCACTCCCTGACATTGGTACAAAAAAGAAAAAAGAAAAAATATCTATGTAAAAATTAATTTAAAGCACAAGGTCTTCAGCTTGTTTCTGTATGAGGTTTAGTTGAATGAACAAATTAGAGAGAATCTTTGATGAGAAATCATATAAATCCAAAAGTTTATCTTGATCCTTTAAGATTTCAGAAAGGGTCTCTTCATTGAATTCCAGTACTTGTAAAATTTTCTTAAGCTTGTTTCTATCAGTATTAAATGCTGGACATAAGAAGAGAAGGTGCTCTAATGATGCGCAAACTAATGTATATATGCTGCAGATGTTACTTTTTAATGTCACTGAGACAACGATGACCAGGAATCACTTTCAATATCACATCAAGATTTCCTTGTGAATCATTTGGGATGTACTGTACAACTTTATTTGTAAAAGTACAGAACAGAACTGTATTTGATTAGAATTCCAGAAATTTTAAGTCAGTTATACTGTATTTCTCATCTGCGGAAAATACTGTAGTTAAGGTTGCTTGTATGTTTTTCATGTTCACATTCTTGGTCAGATGGTACGATTCGAGTGAACAAAAAAGGATTTTACCAGCAGTAAGTATTGCAGTATAATTTATATTATGTATACAGTACAAGTATGATCAATGCTCTCCCAAGGTCAATCAGCAAGTCATTGAAACCGTTTTCCATTCGATTCAAACGATTGACGATTTGTTGTGTAAAGATTAGTTCTTTTTAATGAAATCCGCAAGATCACAACTCTCTTTCTTCAGAATTATCGAATCGAAAGCCTGAAAGCGTACTTTGAATTCTTATAGAAAAATTCGGAAGCCAAGTACATAACTTCAATTACACGGAAGTTACCTTCAGTGTAACGTACTCGTAAGTACTCACATAAGTGCCTTAATTTTATATTTCTCGGCATTTAATAATGTATTCCTGAAGGAATGATTTTAACTGGTTAAGATTGAAAAGAATGCAGTCCGTATAAAACGCGGAACTAATTTTCAAGAAATGTTGCTGGATTTTTTATTGAATGATTTGAAGATAGATGACCTCGAATAGATTTTAGTAACTAAATGGGGGATTACTGCATGGTTTCTTTTTATTGAATTGAACACCATAACTCAGCAAGTACACCTTGAAATGAGAATTCTCGATGAGACTTTCATCACGGGATATTGTGAAATGCCACGTTTCCGAGTTGAGTGGACTAAATCCGTTATATTTCGGATTGACATCGGAATGCTTGATGGAGTTTATCTTTAACATTTCAGACTTTTCATTCAATTTTTTTTTCCAGAATGTCTGTGCCCAAGAAACTGCGCGCGAATTTCGCGCAATATACAGTACTTCCCGGAAACCGCCTGAAGTATTTAGTTTTGAGAAACCTGTTTGCCTCAGACTTTGTTTACTCGCTTTCTTCAAACCGACACGCCCAAAGACAGCAGATACTTGTTATCCTTTTCCGGGTCAAATGTATTCTCAAACAGAGAGGGTTCCAAAAGAAACTTCTATCTTCCAAGGTGAACATTATTCTGCGAAAGTCACGTTGTATGGATCAAGGATCCCCTTGAAGTTTTTCTGAAAACAATCGATTTATATTGTTCCTGGCAAAAAAAGAGCTGTCACTAGTTACAAAAATGCTGTAATCTAGAAATTATAAAAATTATTGCTCGTTTTTTTCGCCAAGAAATGGTGGGAACACCTGGTTGATCCCTGGTGTTTTTTGTCTTGTCCTTTTACAGTAGTCAAACCTCTTTATTTGAATTTAAAGATACCAACAAAATTGACGCAGAAGATTTTCAAGTTAGGGAAACCGGCATTTTTTCAGTGGAAAAATACAATAATGCCGAGTTGACAGCAGTCAACTATACTTTTGCCCCATTAGTCTTTAACTTCCTTTTGGTAAACATCATGTTGCTTTTTTTCCCTGGGCACTCAGAATAATATCCAAAATACCTTTACAATAAATTTTATTTGATGGAATTCGACGGGAAAGTCTTTGAGTTTGTGAGATTTATATTGCACTTTTCTTAACGGTATTCAGACTGGGATAAAACACAAATTTGACACAGGGAAGTTTTTGACTTTACCCTTGGTTGGTGGGTTGATTTCCGTCCTGACTCCTGAGGCAGAGCAATATAATTTTTGCAGCCATGTGCCTTTTGATTTGACCGAAGTGCAGCCTTGGCTGAGTTTTCAAAGTCAGAGAAAAATCCAGGAAAGTGAAGCCTGTAAATCCCTCAATACTGTATTAATCATATTGCAGGAATGCTGCAAAAATGCCACCCAGCACTCCAACAGTGCATACTGTACTTGTTTTAAAAAAAACTTTCGAAGTAAAGAAAACATTTTTCTGGACCTGGTCCCTCTTGACCAGAAAAGTTTCTTCTTTCAAATCTAGGGGTTGGTTGCAAACTTATTTAACTACTGTCTATCCTGGCTCTGCTGTAGGAGGGTTAAAGATAGGTCCAACTGTACCAAAGTTCAAGACTTCAAACTCATGGCTTTTTTTGTCTCAAAAATTGTGTTTCGTGGAACGAATTGATTACGCGATTAACTTGTATAAGGAATTTAATCTTGGGTCATTATTGTTACTGGATTTTTACCTATTGAGACCACCGTGTATACATCTGTCGAAATCCAAGCCACTTATTGTTTATAACTGCTGAATTCCTTTCGTTCCATCAAGGCTACGGACGCGGGGGCACAGAAAGCCACGTGTTTGCCAAAAAGGAAGGAGGTGTGGCGGAAAACTAGCTCATATTGGCAGCAGAAGAATCGGTTGTTGACTCGCCAATATATTCTTGACCGACTCGCCAACTCATGGGAACCGCCAGTCTTTTGTTTTCATTGACATTCGCCCACGCCAGGTTCTGTCGTCGTTGCCCAATAACGGTTAACCACTGCGTGGGTATTTGTGGAAGGCGAAACGTCCCACGAAGGCGCATTCCTTAGAATTATGGCGTGAAATCAAGTCTGTTGAAATACCTGAGACTCAAGAAACCACAACGATACGGAAGCAGCTTCTTATGCTTCACCATAAAACCTGATTTTGAGTAGCCATAAAAAAATGTTTCATCTGGTTTTTCGTAAGGGAAATTTCAAGAGTTTCATTACGTTTGCTCTTTTAACTTATCGCCATGAGGATCTCAGTTTCACAAGAAGTAATTTGGCTTAGAACAATGGCCAGCTGGTTGAAAACTGAACGTATTTACCTTTTTAAACTTTAAACTCCAAAAACTCGTTCCATTCATTTTTCAGGTCTAAGCAAGCATAAATCTGAGGTGATATAGACAACACAAGCAATCTATAATTGGAGATACAGTGGGTCCCCGCATAACAAAACTAATCCGTTACTGAACGAGTTTTATGACAATTTTTATCATGCAAAACGCGTTTCTTTCGAGATTGAATTGTCATTATTTTAATTGGTAACAGTCACGAACAAAAAAAGCCGCAATGAACCATACAATTTGTGAATTTTTGAGCTGAAAATTGTGGATTTGATATTTTTTGCATGAAGTTGAAGTGATTCTGATTTTGAATTTCTCACATTTGAAGGACAACAAGATGTAAAAGTAAGCTTTTTCTACTTTTAAAAATATTAAGTTTTGGTTCAAGGCTTGCTGAAATTTGCGCATTTTTGGATCTCAAAATTCGTTATGTGAATTTTTTTAATTTGTGTCATGTTCTCCCCCTAAACATTTTCATTATTCATTATGCGCATGTTTTGTGTGGGTCTTTCGTTATGTGGGGACTCGCTGTACTGTATCGTGATGCATGAACTTGAGAATAATGAAATAATATACTGTACTGTATCTCTAAAATTTAGGCATTTTTTTTAGCATTTTCATGCCTATCTAAGAGAAATATAGTGGATCAAATTAGTTTCTCTGATGAACTTCGAATTCTGTTATGGTCGACAGAAGTCTGGATAATCAAGGTTCAACTTTTCTTGTTTTCTTTATGCCTCTGAATGACGCCATCGACTAGCTTCCATATTATTTATTTTTCCTTTACAAGCAAAAACAGTCGATGGTTGTGTCAGGGTGTGCAAGTGAATTCATAGCGGGATGCATATGAGTGCCAGGAGCTGTTTCCTGCTCGCGTCGTGTAGCCGAATATGTACCGTTTGTTTTCTAA